GATTATTTATCCGGGTACACCCCTCTTTACCCGAGTAAATAATTTAAATATTTTTCAGATTCAAGAAATATACCCGGGTAGGTAAAAAATTTCAAAATATACCCGATAGACTTCATGGTCAACGGTCAAACAAGAGCAGATTGGTGTTATGTTTTCTGGAGAGGTTAAATTTTTGAAATAATTTATAAATAGGGTAAATTTGGTAATTAATTATTAAAAAAAGACTATAGTGGTCAAAAAAATCTATTTCCAATGCTATCGGAGTATCAAATACTATATACATTATTTATTAAATATAGCAAAAAAATAAACTATTTTTATTATCCTTATTTTTATGATTATTTTCATCTATATTTTATTTTCCCCTTACTAAGCACGAGTGACTAACTCTCGTAAAAGGTTACAGTACCCAGTTTAGTGCGAAGGGAGTACCTACTGCCTTACAACAAAAGTAAAAAAAAAAGGATATGGTTGAAAATAATCATAAAAGATAAGCATTTTGTTATATTTAGTAAATGATATACCAAGTATTTGATAATCCTGTAACACCGTAATTATTTTCCTAGTTAGAAGCACATTTCTCAGTGATACGGGAATACTTATTTCGTTACCAAAGGGAAAAAATGAAATATGGGTGAAACTAATTAAAAATATAGAAATAGTATAAATATATTACCTTTTATCGGATTGGTTGAGCAAGTGGGTTCCTTCGACGGCAAAAAATTTAAATATTGTTTTTTTAATAAATAAATAATTGCACAAATGTAGCCTTTTTGAAACTATTATGTAGGTATAGTAATTAAACACGCTCCACAGGGGCGTGACCGGTTGGAGAGAGACACTTCCCATTAAGACGTGTTTGAGGAGAGAGACACTCATCTATGGGGCGTGTTTCACCAGTACTGCCACGTGGCATAGAAATCAATAATTTGACATTAAAACTTTGAAATCCATCATTACTTTTGACTCAGATGTCTGGATTAGATAATTTTTTTATTCCACATAACTTTTCGAGATCTAGGTAATGACACCTCATTTGACATATTTGTCTCTCACAAAAATTTTTGAATTTACAACAACGATACCATAAGAACTTTTAAACCCAAATTAATAAACAAAAAATCATTGTTATGATTAGAAACATTCATAGTAAAGATCCTTATGAGTATGATAAAAATAAATCAAAACAACATAGTTTTATTAAAAATGACATAACTTTGTGTTTTTTTTTTTTTGATAAACAACTTTGTATTATTTAAAATGACAAACATTTTCTCCATATAAATTATATAATTATAGAATTCTACTTTTTGTAAATATAAATTTCAGTAACTAGAATATGGTATCTCAGAGAAAGAAAAGGAAAAAAATAATAAAAATAACACTACCATATCGTTTATATTTTAAAACAAAGACAGGAAAAAAAATTATCCTCACCTTAATGTTCACTTTTATCTTTCTTCGTTAATAAAGTTTCGTTGCTCTTAACCTTTTTTCTTTATCCACTTTTTTTTAGGGAAAAGTATTTCTCCAGTCATCGGAGATAAAATTATCTACAGTGAGCTCAAAATGACGTCGTTTTGGATTATAAGATTAAAAATTTGTAATGATAAAGACTAATATAACCCTAATATATATTATAATTACAAAAACACCTTGATTTTTGTCCCAAAATGACGTCGTTTTGAGCTCATTGGAGATAACTTTATCTCCGATGACTGAAGAAATCCTTTACCCTTTCTTTTAATAGAGTTTCCTAAAAAATTTCCAAGACTCCCCTCTTTTATTCTCTCTCTCTTATTTCTCTAAAAAAAAAAATTCTTTTTGATAAAGCTTCCTTACTATTTATTAATTTTATATTCTTTATTCTTTCTCTCATTCTTTTTTTTTGCTAGAACTTTCTCTGATTCTTTAATAGTAGAGATTTTCCATCTAACATTTATAATTTTTTAAGTTATATAAATTAATTAATTAATTCTAAATAAACTATAACTATTATATAAAAGGAAATCAGCAGCTGAAATAGAAAGTAAGACTTCTTAGTTTTATACGGGAGTCAAAAGATTCCTATGATATATATTCAAGATGTTATATTAACACTATCGTTAACCGGATAAAATTATAAATTTAATAAAATTCTTCCTTCAAACTTTTACTATATACCTCAATAACATACATCAAGGAAGCACGGACACTCCAAAAAACAGGGAGTGTCGTGTCCGACACGCTCCGACATGGTGTCCGACACGCGGTCAACATTCTCGACACGTTGACCATTTCGACACGCGAATTTGACTTTTTCGACATGGTCAAATGGCAATTTCGTAAAAAAATTATTTACAAAAATAAATAAAATATATTAATAAAGCTTCCACCTGATCATATCAATTCCTTTTTTTTTTGCCTTTTTTTCCCTTAAATAGATAAGAGATCATCTTAGCATCATTATTATCAATTCCTATTACGGTCTTGCTGTATCTCCTTCTCTCTTATCTCTCACCAATCTGATTTGATCTCTCTATCTGATATTATCTCTCTCTGTCATCCCAGTTCTTATTTTTTTTTTATTAAATCTTCCACCTTTATAACGTGTTGATTGATATTACTAATTTAGTTTCATTTTTTTGTTAAATTATTGAATATTAAATGAAATATATGCTATATAAATTAAAAATATTATTTAATATTAAAACGTGTCCCAACGTGTCAAAATTTATATTTTTTTAGGATTGACGTGTAGGAGTGTCGTGTCGTGTCGTATCACGTGTCGCGTGTCGTATCGGTGCTACATAGACATACATAATTAATTTTGATAAAATAAGTCATATTCATTGCATGCGATTAATGGGAATGACAACATATCTGCAACTAACCTAACCTTATCATAACTTATCATAATCATAAGGATCTTTACTAGGAATGTTTCTAATCATGACAATAGTTTTTTCTTTATTAATTTGGGTTTAAAGTTCTTATAGTATTATTGTTGTAAATTCAAAAAAAAATTCGAGAGACAAAATATGTCAAATGAGGTGTCATTACATAGATTTTGAAAAGTTATGTGAAATAAAAAAAATTACCTAATTCTAACTCCTGAGTCAAAAGTTATGGACTTCCAAAGTTTTGCGGTCAAACTGTTGATTTTTGTGCCACGTGGCAGCACCTGGTGAAACACGTCTCATAGGGAGTGTCTCTCTCCTCAAACACGCCCCAATGGGAAGTGTCTCTCTCCAACCGGTCACGCCCTTGTGAGGCGTGTTTTAATACTATACCTACGTAAATAATTTTTTTTTTTTTGATAACATACGTAAATAATTTCAAAACAACTACATTTACGTAATTATTTATTAAAAAAATAATTTAATTTTTTTTGCCTTCCTTAGACTCCCACTACTCCAAATTTTTAATTTTGGTGTATTAAAAAAAATTGTTTACTTTAATTTCTAGAATTTTTATTTTGACATCTGTTTTTTCTACACAGACAACAAATTAAGTAACTTCCTAGTATAAAAGAAGTGTGACTTTGCTGGATGAGTAAATAAATGTCTGTCTAATGTAAAATAAAAAATCGCACATTTGAGAAATAGGAGAAGATAAATTTCTCATAAACTCTGATGGAGAAAGACTAACGAACTAGCTTTTTGGTCAAGTGAGGTAATTCAAGATTCAAGCTCAAATGCAACTCCATAGTTCAACAGCCCTCCAATGCCAAGTCATGCCAAAGTCCAAATCTTCTTGATAAATGTCAACAGATTCTTCCATCCTTTTATTTTCATTATACTCTCATTCAATATCAATAAAACTACGAGTTATATTTTATAATTATTAATTTGAACAATATCTTCATTTAATGTTTATAATTTAAAAAAAATACAAAAAGGTCTAAAATCCAATTTGGTCCAATTATAAAAACCTATAATTTAGTAACAAATAAAAAAACAAAGTAATTAAGGTATTCTTAAAATTTATGCATTATATTAAAGAAAAAAATAAACTGTTATAAATGATTATCAGTTAACGGTTAATTTCGACTCGCATTTTTATTTTCTAGATAGCTAAGGTTTTTGTCCCCTTAACAGATCGTGTCTCTCTTCCCCTGTTCCTAATGAATGAGATTGGCTCTGACAATTGACAGGTCTGTCGGAGGGATTTGTATGCTGCATCCACGGGTACTTGCATGAGTTGCCTGCTTTTTGTCTGTTCTGACTACTTCATTGTCACGTGCACTGCATCTATGTAGTTATTGTCCCTCCCTTGTTGCGCTTGTTAGTTATGACTTATGACGCGTGCCTTGGGCATTCCTCATCCTGAGTAGCAAATTGAAAATGACCCATCTTTTTATAAAAAATGGTTTATAAATGAACTCGTACAGTTCATTGTCAACTTCAACCACCAGTTCGGTCTGCCCATATTTAAGATTTAACTAGATTACATATTCAACCCGATAACAATAGATCATATATTCACATAACCTCTGAAATGAGGTGACTTTATCTTCTCTCAATATTAAGAATTTAATTGCTGGAGTTCCTTTACCTTCGATCATCAAACACAAAGCATTCCCAGTTTTCTAATTATTGATGAAAATTTGGTCATCCCACCACTCTTGTAATAATTTACATAATTGATTGTTGATGTTTCAGGGATAAAGCTAAGAGCTTACTTAAGAATCATTACTGCTTGACACCACGGTATTAGATTCATGAATCCTCTGAATTTATGTAAAACTTGTTTTTATTCTTTTTTAATGCAAAACTTATTCACTCTATCCATATTCTACTCACATCTCCACTCACTCGCGCTCAAATTCTCATCATGAGAGCAACAGGGTTGATTGTTCAGCCTACTCGGACCACTCGCGATTAAGGATGGTTTGATTAAAACGAGTCCTCACATCTATTTCGGTGATAGATTTTATTCAGAACTGGTGCTTTCCGAGAAACGCAACTTCTCAGATTGTAGATTACAATCTTGAATTCATTGATTTGTGAATCGGGCAGCAGCTGCACATAATTGATTCCCCATAGCCTTATCCAGGTTACATTGCAATGAATCTGGAGCCACTGATCATACATTCCACTACCTCTTTACACGCTCACCCTCGTTCCCTCAAAGGCCAAGCAAATTCCAACTCTAATTGAGAAATATTACAACACATAACAACAGAACAAACTATTCGAGTAATCACAAATTCATTTATTTATTTCTTCCCTTCAGGGTTTGGGTTCCATTTGACCATATCAGCAATAATACACAGCATCCTATGACCACAAGACAGATTGCAAGCTCTTGTGACATACAAAGTAAGGCAGATGTCACAATTATAAAGGTCCTGATCCCATCAGTGGGAATTCAGCCTCTGAGAATCCACCAATTGGTAAAGATCACCTCGACGTTGCTTAGTGACAGGAAGATTTGTCCTGAATAATTAAATCACGAAAATATTTAATAATGATTACGACTGGCAATCAGAAGTTAAACATGTGAAAGAGATATTTGTAGTGTGAAGAAAAGAAAACCTTCTCTCCTCCAATATTGAGTAATCAATTTCTGCTATGATGATTGCCTCCTCATGTTCTGTGGTAGCCAGAACTTCTCCAAACTGCCACATTGATATATTCCACAGTAAGTTTTTGTGCGCAAGTCAGCTTCAGAAGTATTACTGACAATAAACGATATTTCCCCTTCTATTCATAATTAAAACTCAGAAAATATGATACCAACTTCCATAATCAGCACATTTTAATGGCTCTACCCAAGGAAAGCTACACATAAAGGATCTACTTACTGGTCCAACAAGAGTTGAGTGGCCCCAAGCCACATAACTAGATCCAGTATCCCGTGCAGGTGAACAGGTAGCAACATATAACTGTCAATAATGAATTTCTGTAAGTACATCCACTAGTATTCTCAGAGCTTAAGAATTAGCAATTCACGATATAATATGGTTAGAAAATACAGATAAACCCCTAACTATAACCCTGCTATAATCACACAATCAACTGCATCAATCCCGCCAATGCAACTGTAAAATACTGAGACAAATCATTTTTCTCAACCCCCATTTCTTGCTATTACGTATAGGAGTCACAAAGTCTTTCCAATATTTATTGCTCATCTGTGGATAAACAATCTAAGTGGCAAGATTAGATTACACTAAGAGGAATATTTGCTTTCGAGAACTTATCACAAATTCATACTAAATTCCTTACTGGTTCGGTAGTTTTCTTTAACTTATTTCTTACACAGTGCAAACATCTCCCAATTTAGATATAATGTTTTAAGATCGTTATTTGGTTCATCCATCAAGAACTCCACCAAATGAATAAATAAAAATTATCATATGATTTTCAGATTTTGATATCATTTAACAATAAAATATACATCAGGTAAAATTCCACACTAGTTTCAAAAACAAGGGGTCATTACCTGATTATCTGTAGCCCTGCATGTGAAGAAGCAAAACACAGATTAGTAACGGAATGTAGATCAGTCATTATTGCTCAATCGAAAATATTTTTGTAAGAATTTAAAAGAAGTTCACGGTGTCAAAGATAAGGAAGAGTCAGAATGAAGAAATGGAAGGAAAACAAAGTGAAAAGTAACCCCGTTATATATTCCAACTGCGAATTATTATCATAAGTTTCTCGCTATTCCTATAACGAAGGTTATATTTGTCAATAAATTCAAATTACAAATGATAAATATGATTCAGCAAATTATCAGTCCAATGTAATGGATGTAGCTAGGGCAAAAGCCCATTAAATAATCAAGTTTATTGCGGTTGTTTCCAGACAGGAACTGGCATGCTCATTATTTGGGAATGAATAGCATACTGGAAACTTAAAGCAACAATAAAGGGATGTAAATTTTAAAAGAAACAGTAGCATAACATATGTTTCAGGTTGTCATATGTATGTTAAGTCAAATTTATTTTCACCTTGCCCGTTGCAATAACTCCCAATGCAATGGTCCAGTTGTCATGTTAAATGCCCCAGGATAGCAAAGCAAGTGAGCACCTGAAGTCAAAAGCTGCTACTGTAAGTTTCCCAAAACTTAAGAACAAGAAAAATAACAAGAGCTTGGAAACAAATCAACACAACTGGATATTTAATCACAAGCGAAGCTAACAGGTTACAGCCTGCACAAATAAGTGGAATAATAGACAGATAACATGATACAGGGAATGAAATATCATACCAAGGAATAAGGATTTGAAGCTTCTTTTAGTATATCACTGAAATAAAATATACACTAAGAGGCAATGTTGCCCAACGTATGTGAACCAATTTCTCCTTTTCTATCCACCCCAAGCAAACAAAATTGTTACTTAGTCATGCTAATAGAACTTAGGAATCATGAATGAACACCTTGGAAAATTCAAATCATTCCCAACCAATTACAAGTACAACAAAAGTAATTGTTTCCAAGCAAATTAATGCAAAAGACAAACCTCTTGCTGCATATATCATTGCTAGTTCCGGAAACCGAATGTCGTAACAGATGCCTATGCCAATGCGTCCAACCTCTGCATGAATCAACCCATTGTTACAATCATTTTACCCAACCATGGAAAAATTCATTACAAAAATAATAATAATAATAATAATAATCAGAAAGAATGAAAAATTAGACCACTCTCGTGACACATGGTAGTCAGAAAAGAAGTTCTATTCTACAAATAAAGAATGATAGGATGAGAAGCATTTACGTGGTTGCTTTCCTTTTTCTTCAATTTTATTAAGAAAATGCAAGATAAAACTAGTCTACAATTCTACAAACATAACTAGCATTTTCCTTATTCTCCCCTTCTGTACTAATCTCCTGCGTTCTTTACAATAAACGTTTCTTCCTTTATAACACATATACAAGCACAAACATGAGAAGCCAGTAAAAACATGTATTCTGAACATAATTATCTAGATCAACCATGAAACCTGGTTTTCAACAAAATCGCCCCTCAGAGGAGAATACAATTACTAATTGTGCATAAGATAAGATGGCAATGTAAGTACAAGATGAGCTATGGAAGAGTGTACGAAGCTAAACAATCCAGAGGTTAATCCAACACTACAACAATAATAACAATTTTCATCATTTCCTTTCCTCATCCTTCTCTGCAGCAAGTCAATATTAGTATCAGCTCTGTGGTTTGAATATCCATTTCTCAATTACATGATGACAAACATAATCACAGAATAAAAAACTGCATCATGACTGATAGAGATAGAACCGGGGAACATGTGCTTCAATGTTTGATGAAAGAATATGTTATAGACCTGTGTCCACAATTGTTGGAGTCTCTCCAGCAGTAAGAGTTTTTGATTCAATGAAGGTAATCTTCCCGGGAATGTCAATATCAAAAAGATGGATCTGTGGTGAAACTGGTATGTCAGAAATCACACAAAAAAGGAAATGCTAAAATTGATTCATGAATTACTCACCATCCAGATTCTGTTTAACTATGAAATATTAATGTTAGTGGTATGTACATACAAGGGATTTGCAACCTAATATGGGAGAAAAACAAGGGATTTGAGCTCTATCAAGGAAGCTCTGCCTCTAGCACACAAGTGCAATGAAAAAACTATTTCTCTCCTGATCATTTTTTATTCCATATGATGAGAGTTTAAATAAACAAAATTCAAGTTGAAAATAATAGGAACCCATTAGAGCAACGACTAAAGAGACCGAAACTAAATCAAAACAATCCACTATTGTGATGTTTATTTCCTAATAAAACTATCCACTATAATCATACTCTATCTATAAATGGAGATGTGATCATAACAGAAGTGGAACCTTGCGGTGCTTGGCTTTTAGCTTTCCGTCGGTGCCAAAGACACAACAAGTGTTGTATAAGCGACCGCCAGAACGTTCTGGTATAGAACCACCAACAATGGTGATGTTCAAGAGACGAGATAGCTCAGAGAGCATGGCAATGGAAGGAGAAGCATCGCCACCAGCATCAATATCCTCAGCATAGACAGGAAAACTATCATTTGAATAAGGACTATTCCAAATTTCCTGACATGACAAGGGACGGTTTCAGTTACTAAGTAAGATGCATGATTCAACGCAGAATAAGCAAAAGCAAAATTGAAAAAAAAAAAAAAAAATGAAAACTGACAGGCAAAAGAACAAGGCGAGCGCCCTTTGCTGCAGCATCCTGAATGGCGGCGCGGGCGTGGGCGATGTTCCTGTCTTTGTCGGGGGTGACAGAGAGTTGACAGAGGCCAATCTTGAACTGAAAGGAAAAGAAGCACATAAGAGGAAGAAGAAAAAGGAATAAGTACCATCTTGTAGGTGGAAAGAGGAAGAGGAAGAGGAAGAAGTTGCCTTGGTAACAGGGGGAGTGGGCATGGGAATAGCTGGTGGGGCCCGCGCTTGTTCTGAGTTGAAGGATGCAGCCATTATTGATCGGATTTGTGAGTTGCGGTTGCGGAATTTGATGGTAGAGAATAAGAGAGAGTTGGAGAAGAAGGTCTTAGAGGTGCGAGTGTGTGTGTGGTGCTGATGAACATACAAACATTTCAAGCTAAGCAGTGACGATAATGCGGACGCTTTCATTTCCACTTTCTGCAATCCAAACCCTTGCTTTGATTTCAGATCATCTCATCTCATCTCGTGTGGGGACGGAACGTCATTACTCTATTTTATTTTTTATTGCCATCTTTTATTCATGCTATAATTGACTTAATTTTCATTGGCTTTTTTTTATAAAAAAATTCATTTATGTTAAATAACATCTTTTTTGAAGTTTTAAAAAAATAAATAAAAAACTGATAATATAATAAATATATTAAACAAAGGAAAATACTACGAAAGAAAATGTGAAAGTGAAATCATACACCAATGTACTGAAAAATAAAATAAAAAATAGACCTATGAAGCCGCATCTACTGTTTCTCTTACCCCACTTTATTATATATTTAATTATGAAACAAAAGGTTAGTGTATTTTGGCATTTATAAAGGTTTCGTAAACAATGACTCGGATGATTATATGGGTATAAATTACTCATGAGATATATTAAGGGTTCATGACCTATTTTATTTATAACTTGTTTTGATTTAATTTATTTGAAAAAAAAATTCAATTTAAAACTTCAACAATATATTTGATTAAGTAAGTGAAAATTTAAATAGTTAGGTTTTTTTTTTTTTTTTGGTAAAACTTATCTGGTTTATCATGTTGGTTATTGATATCATTGTGATGCATAATTAATAACTTATAATGTTCATAAAATTTTCATTAGAGATTTATATAACATATTCCTCTTGGGAATAACATCTGTCATTTTAAAGGAAATAAACTTATATCATTTTAGATCCTAACTGTTGATTTCTGTTCATCAACGGTTATAATTTATTGGATCAAAATTATTAATTAATTAATAATAAATTTAGTCCATTAAGTTTGACCCAATAGATTGTAATCGTTGATGGATGGAAATCAACGGTTAGGATCTAAAATGATATAAGTTTATATCCTTTAAAAGGATAGATATTTTTCACATTCCTTGGGAATAACATCTGTCATTTTAAAGGATATAAGCTTATATCATTTTAGATCCTAACCGTTGATTTCTGTTCATCAACGGTTATAATTTATTGGATCAAAATTATTAATTAATTAATAATAAATTTAGTCCATTAAGTTTGACCCAATAGATTGTAATCGTTGATGGATGGAAATCAACGGTTAGGATCTAAAATGATATAAGTTTATATCCTTTAAAAGGATAGATATTTTTCCCATTCCTTGGGAATAACATCTGTCACTTTAAAGGATATAAGCTTATATCATTTTAGATCCTAACCGTTGATTTCTGTTCATCAACGGTTATAATTTATTGGATCAAAATTATTAATTAATTAATAATAAATTTAGCCCATTAAGTTTGACCCAATAGATTGTAATCGTTGATGGATGGAAATCAACGGTTAGGATCTAAAATGATATAAGTTTATATCCTTTAAAAGAATAGATATTTAAAGGAAACCACCGCTGAAACAACAACTTGAAACGAAGTTATAAACATCTAACTTAACTTAGGGCTTGTTTGAAATCTGTTTTAAAAAATAACTTTTTATTTTTAGAATAAAAAATAAAAAATTTATTTGATGAAGCTTGTTTTTTAAAAAGAATTTGAAAATTGTAATTATTTTTTTATATTTAGAATCAAATTTAGAGAATATATCTAAATTATTTTTGTTTTATTTTTTGACTTTTAACTATTTAATTAATATTCTTCAAAATAATTTTAAGAAAAAATCAGAATACAAGAGGTACTTGAACTCTGTCTTGATTACTGGTGCTGCTCAACAGTGTTCAATTTAAAAATATTTCTTAAAATGTTCGTCGCCGCTATTTTCAATTTTCAATTTTATTAATGTTATTAATGGATTAATTTGTGAAACTCTTGTGTGGCCGGTGGGACTAACGATATTTCGCTACATAAAACAATGACTCAATTAGGCGATAGTCTTCAAGAAAATATACTTAGCCTTGAAAATTTGTTTCTGTCAATTTAACAATATAAAAGACTAATTTGAAATACAAATTAATTAAAAGATGGATTTAAAATCTAAAACTAAATAAACAATAAAAGTGTGAATATTTCCACAATAATTTTAGCGATGATTTTACTTTCTTCACTGGTGGTTACAAGTTTTATTAATGTATCATTTAGATTTATTCTGGTTACAGAAATTTATCAGTTAGATTAGATCCTTTGTGGTCTTATATACATAAATTTTTATTATTTTGATTTTTTTTGGTGATAGGAAAGGCATAACACCCATTATTTTTAATTTTAATCTATATCAGTATGATATTATAAATCAAAATTATAGTATAATTAAGTATTAAGAAAAAGTTGTTTATAGATTATTTTAAACATTATCTTAAAAAGGAATTATTTATTCCTATTATATTTAAAATGAAAATTATTATTTAAGACATATTATAATATATTATCTTAAAATCATATTTAATTAAAAATAACTTTTTTTACAAAAACATATTTATTTGTATGAATAATTACTTTCAATATAATTTTTTATTTTTTATTTTATTTAAATTAGCAACAATATCACTTAAATTCCTTGTGATCTTATACACGTAAACTTCATATTTTTTTTAACTGTTATTCTTTGCATGACTAAAATTATAATACAATTTAGTATTTAAGACTAAATTAAAAATAATATGAAATTATTTATTTTAAAAATATGGTAAATTTATATTTTATTTTTAAAATATTAAATATAAAAAAAATTAAAAGAATAAAAAACCTATCGTCTTAAAAATGTACTCATGCCAAATAAATTAAAATAAATTTAAAAATTTTGTTTTCCTTTAATTATATCATAAAATCAAATTTAAGGCAAATTATTATTTTATTTTACATTATATTTCTATAATATTATCAATCAAAATAAATTTAAAATAATTTGTCGTTAGTTCATCTTAAATAATATTTTATTTTTTAAGATATTTTTTGAATTCATAACAAAAATTTTACTAAAACTTTTAAAATAATTTCAAAAAAAAAAACTTTCAATTTAATCTTTAATACTTAATTTTATTGTAACTGATAAAAATTGCTCCACTGTGGTTTTGTCGTTTTGTTTCCCAAATTCAGCTTGTAAAATCAACGGCCTTGTGAAGCGTTTTGTGTGTTAAACGTAAGTATTTCAAATTTTTAATGAAACCCAAACCAAACCCTTGCTTTAATTAATTAATTTAATCCACAGCCTTCTAGCAGAAGCGTTTCTGCTACGTTTTTGGGAAGGCTTATAGTAGAATGGACAATGGAGAGTACGAGCCACGAGGCATGTTTTCATTATTTTTTCCTAATTTTTTTTATGCAATTTGTTTTAAGTAAATATAAATATTAAATTTAAATAGTCGCACGGATATGTTATTTAGTTTTAAAAATTAAATCTGGTACTTTCAAATTTCAATGGTTAAAATCCCAGCCTCAACGGACTTCATTTTTCCAACGGTAGTTAACTACCTCTCGCGCCTCTTTGTTTCTTATATTTCCATTCGGACCGACATCATTGTTCCAACGGTAATTAACTACCTCTCGCGCCCCTTTGTCCCTTATATAATTCCCATTCCGACAAACCTTTTCACAGTTTCGTTTGTCTCTCCAAGATTATCAACGAATTCTGTCTGAAATTCCCACATTTGTAATCGCACTCCCTTCCTCAGTAGCGGCGCTTTCTCTTTGGCGCCGCTACTGTTATCGCTCACATTTCCATTTTCCCCCGCTTGAAACATAAAGTTCTCTGTGTCTCATCCTAATTAACGCATGCATGGGGGATCCCAGGTTTGCTGTTCCATATAATGACCCATATGACGCTCCAATGAGCCCGAGCTTTTTCAATTTCAGCAACCCCACACTAGCCGATTTAACCTTTAATGATGGAGCCAGTGCAGCACTACCCCCCCAACAAAGTGATTTTCATCATGGAGTTCAACAGGGTAATGATGGAGCCACTGCATTGCCCCAACAACAAAGTTTTTATCCTGGAGGTCAACAGGGTAATACTGCACTCACCCATCAAAGTTATCATGGAGTTCAACAGGGAAATAATGATCTTACCTATTCGGAATTTGATCCAATGATTCAAGATAACTTGGTGTATAATAATTTTCCCTATGGAGGAGCAGAGAACTTTGAAGCGGGTTCATCACAAATGCATGTGAATATGGATCAAAGTCAGCAGACAAATGAGAATTTGGGGTCTCAGAATCCCAACCAAGTAATGGCACTTGCTGCGTATTGGCCCCAAACACAAGCCCCCTTTTTTTGCAGTTGCTGTCATGTCCTGAGAGAAATAGTTTACACTAATGGTTAGCTTTGAACTGTTTTACCAAAATTAATGGTTTAATACCCACAATTCTACTTCTTCTTCTTCTTTTCTCTTTTTCTTTATGATAAAGTTACCCCAATATCATTCTCTTTAATTTGATATATATATTTGGATGCTTGGCAGGTATTAACTTCGAAAAGCTTGAGATACACGGAAGGCTCGGGATTGTTACCCATGCAATTCACTATAAGAATATCACGAATGGGGGCCCTTCTTCAAGCAACCATCAATATGAAATGATTGAGTACGTTTTTAGGCCTTGGTTCTACTTTTATTTTTCTGTGGTAATTGCTTTTGAATTACCAATTAAAATCATATTTGGTTAAAGAGAGTTGCTTAATTTTATTTTCATGTCATTCGATGATGTCTTCAACAACTTAAATATTAACCCTTTTAAACAAAGTTTTATTTATATGTTTTAGAGTTTAAATTAAACTTTCTCTTTTTCTCTTTTTTGTAATCCTTTCTTTCTTTTTGGGTGTGGGGGGATTATTATCAGTTTTTGTAGTAGAAGCATTAATGAAGTCAAGCATTTCCTAGTAGAGTACTGTCAGGGGAAAACTAAAACAGGCTACACTATTTTGCAAGAACATCTCTCTGTCTATTATGAGGCCCTCTGCGTTGGACTAGACTGGACTGATGATCTAAATGATGACTTCACTGATTTGAATCCATCAGGTTGCTCTTCATCTCTTTGTCATGTTTTTCTTTTTGCTTCGATCACCATTGTGAGAATTTCATTTTTGTTGTAATTATGTGACTCGATGAAACAAGAAGAAGAAAACTTATTATAATAATGGTTTATAAACAATATCATTTTTTTTTTCTTTTGTTTTGTTAGGTAGTATTTTTATTTATTTTCATAGTATTATGCTGAGTCTCAATCTTTAAAATATTTGTAGGAGGAGCACAAGCTGATGACATGGAACAAGAAGCTCCTAGACTTTGCCTAGCAGCACAGGTTATATTTTTACTTTTGTTACACTATTCTTGTCATTTTAAAATTTCAAGAAGTGTGTTGAATGTGTTTTTGGTCTTTTTCATTTATTCTTGTCATTTTAAAATTTCAGAAGCAAGAATAATATAACGAAAATTCAAGAAGTGTATTGCATGTGCTTTTGGTCTTTTCTTTTTTCTGGAAAAACATTCTAGTTTTTGACTAGTTATCCTATTGTTTTTGGGCGCATTGCACAGAGGGAGAGAGCAGGAAGGATGACATTGAGTGATTTTAGCAATTACTTTCATTTACCTATTGACGAAGCAGCGAAACAAGTGAACTTATGCCCCACTGTCATGAAGAAAATTTGCCGTAAGGCAGGATTAGTTCGATGGCCTTTCAGAAAGGTTTAGTGCTGCAATCTTCTTTTGTGTTTGCCATTTGATTTGCTATGAATGTCTGTTGAGCATGTGGTCTTGACATGTATGTGATGTGCACAGGTTAAGAGCCTTTCGAAACAGATCTCAATACTCAGAAAAACATCATTAGAATCAGCAGATGCAGCCACAAAGGCAACAACTGAAGCGGAAATTAACAGACTTAAAGAAGAAATGATCCAGCATTGTGGTGGAATTGCGCCAACTGCATTAAATTTTGAGAATGCCAACCTATTATAGATTGTGTTATGGGGAGAAGATTAATCTTATTCTTTTAGTTAAGTTTAACTTCAGTTTGTAAAGTTTGATTAGCTGTTGCTTGAGAGGGTTTATATATTTGTTATTATTAGTTCCTACATTTTTTTTAGGAGAATTTCTTTGTTATTTACTTTTTTATCGGGAGTGTGATGATGTTGATATTGTTGTAATTTTTTTGTAACCGCTAATTTTAGACATATTTTATTGTAATTTTTTTGTAACCGCTAATTTTAGACATATTTTATTGTTATTTTTTTATTTTTTTTTTGTAACTTTTACACATATTTTGATTCGTCTGTTATTTTATTTTGTTTCATAGCAATTAGCCACATTTTATGCATGTAGGAGTAGGATGATTTATAACCTATTTTTTTATAACATGTTTTGATTTTTAAATATAAATATTTACACTAAACATACACTTAATAATTAAGTTGGTGTTCTTTAAAATAGTTTGTACTTTGTAGGATGGTTATACACTAATGCATTAATTTTGACGGTAAAGATAATGAAGAAAAGAAAATGAATGATAAAAAATATGAATAATTTACACACTTACATAAACTGTATTCGTTCGCCTAATTGCATGCTAATAACACATTTATTAAATGTATTCATTCAATTTTCATTTTTACACATTTTGTCCGGTCAAAATTAGTTACAATTTACTAGCTTTCATGGTGGATATGCTAGTTTAGTTGTTAGAGGACAACGCCATCATGGTCCGGTTCGAATGCTGATAGAGTGGGAAAAATGGATTTGAATGCTCTTAGCTGAGAAACAGAGAAAGTGATCACGTGATTATTTGATCAAAATTAGTTATTTAAAAACCATATATTTCCCTCTCTTTTATCTCTTTGTTAAAATAACATGAAGTATCCAAATCCAAAAAAAAATAAAATAGTTACAATTCAAATGGCTCTGCCGTTACGGAAAGCCATAGCGAAACCTTGTTCTGCTACACCTCGAATTCCAATCGCATCCTCAATTACATCACTCCTTCAAACCCTAAATCCCCAAAGTAAAGATTGTGAACCCCTTAAAGGGTTTTCATCTCACCTCAACCCAAGCTTGGTTATCCAAGTGATTAAGAGTGCAGAGAACCCCTATCATGCACTGTTCTTCTTCAACTGGGCATCGAACCCCGAACCCAACCCCAACAACTACTATCATACTCGCTCATGTTACTCCGCCATCACCGGTGTCTTGCTTTCTCACTCCCTTTTCTCCACCGCATACTCTCTCCTTCGCCACTCTAACAAACTCTCCGACTTCTTCATCTGTAAATTCATCAACGCTTTGGGTGATCGTGGCGATATCAGGGGTGCCATTCATTGGTTCCACAAAGCCAAAGTCTTTGCAAGAGGGCGCTGTGTGTTCTCCTTAAACGCCATATTGGGCGTGCTCGTTAGAGCAAATCGGGTCAATCTGGCCATGGCTATCTACGATCAGGTTGTGGCAGAAGATGTGGTGAAACCCGATGTTTTCACTTACACAACTATGATTAGGGGTTTCTGCAAAATGGGCATGGTCGAAAGTGCCGGAAAGGTGTTCGATGAAATGCGCTGTGAACCCAATGTGATTACTTACAACACAATGATCCACGGGTTTTGCAAGAAAGGTGATATGGAGGGTGCCAAGAGGGTTTTTAATCGATTGGTGGAAAGTAAGAGTTGCGAACCTGATGTGGTGACTTTTACCACTTTGATTGATGGGCATTCCAAGAAAGGTGAATTCCAAGAGGCACTGAACTGCATGAAGGAGATGCTGGAACGAGGTTGTCACCCAAATGTTTTGACTTACAATGCATTAATTGAAGGTCTTTGTTTGAGCGGATATGTGGATGAGGCAAGGAGGATGATGACTAGGATGAGGTTAAATGGTTTAAAAGACAACATCACCACAAACACCAGCATATTGAAGGGTTTTTGCATTCTGGGAAAGTCTGATGACGCTATCAAGCATCTGAAGGACATGGTTAGTCGCGGTTTGAATCCAGATGTGAAAGCATGCCATGTCATTGTCAATGAGTATTGCAAGATTAGAAAATCAAATGAAGCAGTTTCACTTCTGAGGGGAATGGGGGCAAGGGGCATTAAGCCGAGTGTGTCGAGTTTTAATGCAGTGTTTAGAGTTCTTGTGGCTGAGGGGAAGCTTGAAGAAGCAGTTCTTCTTTTAAAGCAGATGCCTCAAATGGGTTGCTCACCCAACTTCTTATCATATAGCATAGTCATATGTGGTCTTTGTGAAGTGAAGGGTAGGATGCAACAAGTTGAAGAGCTTGTTTGGGACATGCTCCAGAATGGGCATAACCTTGATGCAGCTATGTACAACTGCTTACTTGGGGGATATTGTGAAGATGGGGATGAAGAAATGGCGTTGAAGACGGTTTATAATATAATTGACAAGAACTTTGTAATCAACAAAGACACTTTCTGCACTTTTGTCAAGGAGTTGTGTGCAAAGGGAAAAATGAAAGAGGCGGAGACAGTATTTGAAGAGATGTGCAAGAGATGCCCTGTATTTGATATAAATGCTTAGATTAGTGCTATGTCAATTGGGTAGGAAAGCTGAGGCATCATGATATTCAGTCAATTGAATTCCTGAAGAGCTATAGCCCATGAAAAGTATAACGCTTGGGGAGGGAGAATTTGCTTAATCCAGCAGTGGAAGCCTCTGATAATGTTCATTGTATTTAGTGTTTGGGTTATAACTGCTGTGCACCATGGACTGTGTCTGTGATTGTTAGTGGTCTGGTTAGTAACTGGGTTTGGATAGTAATTCCGAAAAGTTACATCCCTATATGAGTGATTCAACTAATTAGGTCAATAATTAAACTATATATGATGATGTAATTACGTTCCTACGTATATATATTTGTAAATATATACCTAACAAATTATCACCACATATATATATATATATGGGGCAGGTTATATTTACAAACTTTTTTGTTTACAAACTCTTACAAACTACATTATCTTCTCCCGGGAGAACATAGTGCAATTTACATAAATTTGTAAGAAAAAGTTTGTGAACGGATTCTTCTCCTATATATATATATATATATATATATATATATATATATATATATTAAAAGCCTATAGTGATTAAATTAACGGGTTTAATTGGAAAATTTTCTTGCCAACTAGTTTATCGAATTCTAAAACACTTGAATCAATTATTATTGATAAAATAAGTTATTTTTTCTGTTGAATTATAAAACATTACGAAAGTAAATGAAAACAACATAAAAACGATAAGATCGCTTGTATACTCAGGTGCAGGTTGTCCTGGTAAAATTACTATTTGGCTAAGCTTTTTTTTAAAAAGTATGATATTATAACAATCAATTAGGGTTACTATCAATGTTACTTTCAGTTAACTTCACCGTTAGATTAATTATATTGATCCAACGGTTATATTTATTTCTATAACCTTACTAAGGTGGAAATAAATATAAAATATTAAATATGATGAATCATAACAATACAAAGACAAAAGTAAATATAACCGTTGGATCAACATAATTGATCTAACGGTAAAATTGATTGCTTATAACATTGATAGAAACCTTAATTGGTTGTTACAATATTCTATCTTTTTTTTAAAATAAAATTAAATTAAATACAATATAGCTAAATGTCGCCATTTTTTATGGTTGGTTGTTAAAACCAGATTTTTGGTTGTTAAAACAAGACTTCAGGATTTTAACAATTATTACTACAAGTCAATTCAGGCTATCCTTAACCAATAGAAGGTTTTCACTTTTAGCCCATTTCTTCTTGGCGAGTGAATGTGCTATTGATAGTGCAGTTGGACTAGGTTTTAAAAAAGTGAACTCAAAATTAAGAAAAATAATAATAATAAAAAGTCAAAAAGTCAAAGCCATTACTAATTTTAATTCGTTTTGACAAATACATATTTAGAAAGAAAAATTGAGCAACTAAAGCCCAGGAAACAAAAAACTTGCACGTGTATGCAACTTTCAACCCAAACGTGAGCTATGCACACAACACGTAAACCCGAGGTATTCAACATAAAATTGGGCCATAAAGCATGTGTATTTGAGAAATTCCTATAGTTCTATAGTGAAAAAAATATCTTTCTCTATATATATATATATATATATATATATATATATATATATATATATATATATTGCTCTGTATCATTGAATTGTTATTTTTATTTTAATATAATAATTAAGATCGTATACACTGACTAAAAAAACAAAAAAACATCTTGCTCCATAAATGCTTAAAGATTCCTGTAAGCGTTTTGAGGAGAGATTTTTAAGTATTCTCTATACTATTTATTGTATCACAACAATTATAATATTAAAAAAGTAATTAAAGCAAACAAAAAAAGAGATAGTGAGAGTGAGAATGTCTAATGAATATGGTATGCGTGTAACGACCCGAAATTAAAAGATAATGACAATGAAGTCGCCACCAATTTTATTTAATTTGGAAAAATTGGAAAATCTTTTATTGCAAACTGGTCTTTAAAATTATAGATCAAAGGTTCGGGAGTCTAATTATGCGCAGCGAAGGGTGGAAACTTAATCTCACTGCACCCCTGACACATCCGTTGCAAAACGGTTACCTTAAATTAATTGTGCGAATTATTAATAGCTTTTAAAAATATTTGTTTTATCCCTTGAAATAAATAAATATGATTGATTAGGAAGTAAGAAGACTAAATTATTAAAATTTCATTTTAGCTTGACGGAAAGAGTTTCGCTCCGACGTATCCTCAGGTGCAGTGAGGAATTCAAAGCTACGTCGTTCTTTAAAAAAAAAACATGTTTGCATGTTGATTATTTTTGATTTTAAATTTAGAAATTTCGGATTACCAAGCTGTCACAGCTAAAATAATTCTGATCGCACTCAGGGTTGACAAGCCGTCACGACTAAATTACCCCTTTTAAATGATTTTAAGGTTATAAAAAACAATATATGGCAATTTTAATGAGTTACGAATCATCAAGCCGTCACGGTTAAAATGATCCATAACCAAACACGCAGGATTAAACAAGCCGTCACGGCTAAATCACCCTTAGGCGTAATTTTAACATTATTATATGTTTTAAATTGATATGAAAATATGATAAATTTGATTTGTTTCATATCATCAAGCCGTCACATTTAAAATGATCCGAAATGAAATACGTGGAGTTAACAAACTGTCACGGTTAAAATCAACCATTTAAAATAAAAAAGAAAATAGCTTAGGATTAATAATACCAACTAAGTAGATAAATGTGTCGATGGACATGAACAAATACTTGAGAAAAACAAAAACAAAAAATACAAGATTACAACAGCCAGATTAAATAATTTTAAACACCCTCTTCCTATTCTATTTCATATTAATTTTTTATACTCTTTGCGGTGATCGATTAAAGCACTCGGGTATATAGAATAAATATTTTAAAACTAAAATGGAACTCTTAACAAAGAGAGAAAGAATTATGAAATAATTTGTTAAGTCCAAATAAAAAATTTACTTAATGAAAGTAAGAATAAATGATTCAGTCCGATCCAAGTTGACAATCCTAGCAGAGGTCGGGATTCCCAAAGACACTAGCATAAACTTACTATTCCAACAATTCTAGGATTTGGAATAAAATAATAAAAAAAACATCCTCATTTTCCCAAATATAGGAATGCAGGCTTTTTGACCCTTATAACCTTTTATTAATAATTAATTACCAAATTGACCCTTATTATAAACTATTTCAAAAATTTAACCTCCTCAACAAACATAACACCGATCTGCCCCTGTTTGACCGTTGACCACCAAGCCTACCCGGGTACACCCCTCCCTACCCGGGTATTTTTTGAAATTTTTTGTCTACCCGGGTAGGGAGGGGTGTACCCGGGTAGAGTTCAATCTGGGAAAATGTTTGAATTATTTACCCGGGTAGGGAGGGGTGTACCCGGGTAAATCTCTGTCAAAAACCCTAAAATGAAATAAAACTCAAGAGACTAAAATGAAATCCCATTGAACTCAAGAGACTGCTACATAACAACTCCTATAGCACTTGTAAGTTTACTTACATTAACAGTCATCACCAGGAATTCTAACAGAACTCGGAAACTGACACCAGGCCTTGGATGCAAAATGAAGCAGGAGGAGGCAGAATAATGCATGGCCTCTGTCAAATAAGTTCAGAAATTCACACATCCAATGACAAGAAGCGATACCTGTTCAAAAACTGCAACAAACTAGATTAGGAAAAAATTGTATGAGGAACAAGTACAAGAGCAGTAAAGTTGAAAGGTACCCTTTTCTCAGAAGCATTCATTCAAAACCAAACTTGCAAAGAAATCAAAAAAAAAGTTTAGAACTTTCAACCAACCCAAGATTTGAAAAAACCATAGCAAATGGTAGGTGACAATACCGTGGGAAGATGGGATAAAAAAATTAACATAAGATGAAGATAAGGAGGAGAAACCGATTTTGTAAATTGTATGTTTGTTGGCTGCTGCAGAGATCTAGGAGGGGTTTTGGGGTTTCTGGTGGAGATTTACCCGGGTACACCCCTATGTACCCGGGTAAATAATTCAACTATTTTTCCAGATTGAAGAACTCTACCCGGGTACACCCCTCCCTACCCGGGTAGACAAAAAATTTCAAAAAATACCCGGGTAGGGAGGGGAGTACCCGGGTAGACTTGGTGGTCAACGGTCAAACAGGGGCAGATTGGTGTTATGTTTGTTGGGGAGGTTAAATTTTTGAAATAGTTTATAATGAAGGTCAATTTGGTAATTAATTATTAATAAAAGGTTATAAAGGTAAAAAAGCCTAGGAATGCGACATTGAACAGAGATAAGGATTAGAAAATAATAAACTTACCAAAGGCATTAGCAATTCTAAGATTAAAATGAAATGATAATAAACATTTTCATTTACCAAATAAAGGAAGGTAACAGCTACCATGTATCTCCATCATTTAGAAAGCAGTAACCCACGGGATTAGTTGGAGTGCAAGTCTGGCGAGCCTCATGAAGCAGCGGTAGCGGTGCATTGGTTCACACAGTGCAGCGAAACTGGCGGTGGTTGGTCTGACAGGGACGGGTTGGTAGATTTTCTGGCTTGTCGACAGTTGGAGGCTCTTTGCTCCTCCTAGAAACTAGAGTTTCTCCTGTGTCTCTGTTTCTGAATTCCTTATTTTCCCCAGAACCCTTTTATCCTCTCTTCTTCTATCTCTATCTCACTTCATAAATTTCCCTTTTCTTTTCTTTCTTCTAGGTCCGATTCCCCCTAAAATCTCCAACCCCAACTAACTTTTTTTTTTCTCTAACTCCATTTTTCTCTGTTTTTAAGCTTCTTCCCTGTCACCCCTCAAGAACCGCCCCTTTGTTTATATAGTCCCTCGTCAACATTTTTTTTTTCTTTGCCTAACGTGATTTCTGATCCCCTCTACTCCATCCCATTGGTAGTCAGGCATGCTGCTCTTCCTTTGTGCAGAGATAGCATTGATCCATCCTTTTTGGTATTTGTTCTTCAAGGTGCTTTCTTTTTCTTTTGGTTTCAAATGCTTGTCTATGAGACTTTGGTATAGCTTTGTCTGCCAGCATTTAACTCTTTTGTATTTTTCTTCAACGGTGGGGGCAAGGTCATTTTCAGCATGCTATACTCTTCTTTGATCGTCCTTTTGTATTTTTCTTTCTCTTTTTTTCTTTTTTCTTTTTTAATATTAGCTGATTGCAAATTACAAAAGAAATATATTTAGGACAAAATTAGGTGTTCATAATGGGTAAAGTGTGTGTCATTTTTAAAAGATGTAAAGTTGTGTCATTTTAAAAAAGAAAAAAAATAGATAAAAAAGAAGAGAGAGTTGACAAAAAAAAATAGAAATATAAATTCATCTCTTTATAAAAATAAAAAGATATAAATTATATTATTTATAAAGATAAACATTTTTCACATGTCGTATACTTTCAATGACCATGAAAAGTTAAATCTCACGTCCAGAAAGTCTCTACTCTCTCGTGCTTTTTTTTTTTTTTTTTGGATACATCTACTCTCTCGTGCTTTAAAAGCATACAAACTTAACTCTGATCGTATTTGCCACTTGGAATACGAGCACGACATATGTCATGAAGAGGCATATTTTTTTTATTATAGGAATAGACATTTCTTTACTGAAATTATGAAAAAGTAAGATCTAGGTGGCAATAATTATAAAAGAATAAATAGAATGAGTAAAATTAGTTATATTTTTTTCTAAATTTAATAAAAATACACTGAATCTTCAATATTACGAAAGTATTGAAGATATTTTCATCATGATAATACCAACGCCAGAGGACAATATTTTAAATCCTTTTGGATCAATAATTTTGTACTTTTTAAGGTTGAATGTACATCGCTTTAATGATATTAAATTCTGAATTATTACAATCCTATATAGATCATCGCTATTTTCTCTTTAGATACACGCATGGTTTTATTTTAATTAATAATTTCTGCATCAATCAAGGTTTTTAATTACTTTAATACCATTATAATTTCATCGAGTTATATACATGTCAAATGCAAAGATTGTATCATTAAACAAAAAGTGTGATTTTGATGATATATTAATAAAATTTATTTGAAATATAATTATGAGTGACATATTTAATTCTAATGATATCATATTATTTAATTAATTGGAAAATTAAATAATTAATACAGGGGCCCAATTAAATATAATGGAACCAAATGAGATAATAATAAATATACCTAAATGGATTATGGTTTCGTATACATCAAATGAGTTTCTCTCTTCCTCTTCTCTCAATCTATAAAAACACTCATTGTAGAATCAAGCGATTTGTCTGAAGAATGCCAAAAATATTTAAATAAAATAAAGAGTAAATATTTTTTTTAGTCTCTAACAAAAAAACAACTTTAGTCCCCTACAAAAATAAATTAATCAGTTAGTTCCTAACAAATTCAAAGTGGATCCATTTAGTTGAAATCGTAGTCCCTCATAAATTCAAAAAATATCCATATTAGTCCTTCAAAAGGACTAAAATGGGTCCACTTTGAATTTGTTAAGGACTAACTGACTAATTTATTTTTGTAAGGAACTAAAGTGGGGATCGTGTTTTTTGTTAGGGACTAAAAATGGTATTTATCCTAAAGTAAAATTAAAACAAGTGATCTGACGGAGACAGCTACGTGTTACTCGTTTTATGCTAACTGATGTTCCAATTTGATGTGTTTCGGTTTGATTGGTTTAAGGTTTTCACTGTAAAATTTAAAAGATAAAATATAACGTGATAAACTAAGTGTTTGGATGTCTTCCACCTAGGTTATATATTATTTTTTCGGTTTCTTCCTCCATGTTAAAAATAAAATAAAAATGATTAACTAAGTGTTTGGATGTTTTCCTTTAATTATCTTATGGATTTAACTTTAACTGGTTTCTTATTCTGGATATATTTAATACTGATTGGGTTATAAACAATTTTCTTATTATAGGAAAGATTTATTTTATAATTTTACCAAAAAAAGAAAAAAAAATCTATAAGTATTTAAGGCTGATTACATTATAATTAATTAATTAATTTTTAATTTTTCAAATTTAAACTTTTGATCGATTTATAATTATTATATTAAAGGATATAAATCTCTTTCTACCAAAAACGGGACATAAAACTCTAATAAATAGTTAAATTAAGGGTTTGATGTTTGTCATTTTAGATGACATAAATTATGTCATTTTAAGAGAGAGATAGACACAAGGAATGAAAATCATGGGGAAGAAAATGTGTAGTTATTTTTTAATTTAAATTTTAAATAAAAAAATAAAACTTTGTGTCTATCTCTCTTTTAAAATGACATAACTTTATGTCATTTAAAATGACAAACACTTTTCCTTAAATTAATTATTATTTTTCAAAAACAATTTTTTATATTTTTCAAATTCAAATTATCTTGAACTGCTTTTGTCATCAAATTTTTTGCCTAAAAAAAAGAAGAAGAAGAAGACTCTAATCTTTTACGGTAATTTTTTTTTTTTTTTCATGTGTTATTAAGATAAAAAGTTATAAAATTATTATCATTAATTTATTTATCAATGATTAAAATCACTCACATGATACAACACGTGAGAGCATCCGATTTTTTAAAAAAGGAAAGTAGGATTTAAACGGCATGGTGTATGTGCAGTTAGCTTTAACCGATGACGATCCAAATTCGTGGAGAAGAAGATCATATGTAAAAAAGTACCGGTAAATTTTGAAAATACCCATAATAAAGGGGGCAATGAAAATTGTATTGTGATTTATAACCCAACCCGGTTGACGGACCCATGGGCTTTTATAAAATCGAATTAACATATTCAATTGGTTCCGATTCAAATCCGCAACATTGTATTGTGTTTGTTGCGTAAACACACACACAGAGAGAGAGAGAGAGAGAGAGAGAGAGGAGAAAAGAAAGAGAGAAGGGTCAAATAGTTTCCTATCTTTTCTTTCCCTCCATTTACACACTTCAACTCACACTCACACTCACACTGAGAGAGAAAAGAGAGAGAGAGAACCTTCTGTTCTCAAAACATGGATGCAGGAGCTCCGTACAATCCTCGTACGGTGGAGGAGGTTTTCAGAGATTTCAAAGGGCGCAGAGCTGGCATGATTAAGGCCTTAACCACCGGTATCATATTATTTAAATTCAATTTCTCTCTCTCTCTCTCTCTCTCTCTCTCTGCTTAATTCAATTATGCCTTTTCTTCCATTGTAATGTTTTTTCTCCTCTGCTTTGTGCAGGTGTTGAAGAGTTCTTTCAGCAGTGTGATCCAGGTATGTGTTTTTTTTTTTTTCTTTCTCTATTCCTTTTCTGCTTTCCGCTTGTGCTGAACAGAAAGTCGTGTATTTTTTGTTTTTATTTTGTTTTAACCTATTCGCTTTTAACGGACTGGTTCTGAGTTCTGACTCTTGTCAATGGCTATTGGCTACCACGCTAGGGAAACTTGCTGTTATTTTTTTAATTTCTATTTTTCAAATTATTTTATGTCTTGTAATTCCAGTCTGGTATGTAATGAAAAGCAGAACCATGTGGCTCTTCCCTTTTTCGAATTGGAATTCAGTTCAATTTTTTTGTTCACTAACTAATTCCCGTTAAACCCCGACTAGCAGGGTAGGGCAAGGAGGTTATTTTCTACAATCAAACCAGTCATAGTTTGTTAATTATTTAGTCATTATTCCTTATATCTTTGAACAGGAAATTATTGAGAGTTAATACATACTTGTATAAAAATTGAGCGGGGTTACATTTAAATAAAGAAAATAAACATTTGTACCTAAATTCAAGGCATCTCGTAGAAATTAGAGCTTTTCAGTGGGTGCCTGGGCACCTACGAAGCACCGACACTCTGAATTTTTTTTTCCGACGTATCGGATACGCATATCGGAAACGTATTATATCATATCAACGAATTAACGGTTCTATCGAGAACGTATCGAAAACGCCGTGTCGGAGTCGGTGCTTCATAGCTGGGCACGCCCTTACCATAATGTGGTGCTGTCACTGCCAAAGTGGGAGTGACAATATGCCTTCCGTGTTTGGGTGGAATCTTAATTGTAAAACTCCTCAGCTGTTTGTAGATTTCAATTAAAATTTGTTTTATTTTTCTTTGTTTGTTTGAACTTGGGCCAAAAAGTTCATTTGGCTTACCGGACTTTACTTGCTCGTTAAATTGGGATAAAATTGATCTATATAGATGGCTTCATTTTACTGTTTTTTATCATTTCGTCATCCATATTTTCTTATGAATTATATCTGATGTGTTGCAGTTGCAAGAATCTGAATTTTATCCGCATTCGTCCTAACTCCCTTTGTGATGTAATGAGTTGATTGTATTACACTTAATTATATAGTTTTGAAATTTCAATTGACTGTTAGACTAAAGGGAAGTTGAAAACTACTCAACCAGCTCCTATGTGTGCATTTCTGTTCAAAAATTGCTGTTCTTAAATTTCATTCTGGTGGAGAATCAAATAAGTGGATGGAATGCTGTCAGTTTTATAACTTCAATTGATTTTTGAGCTTTGTGATGCAGAGAAGGAAAATCTTTGCCTTTATGGTTTTCCTAGCGAGCACTGGGAAGTCAATCTGCCTGCTGAGGAGGTGCCTCCTGAGCTTCCAGAGCCAGCATTGGGCATTAACTTTGCCAGAGACGGGATGCAAGAAAAGGACTGGCTATCCTTGGTTGCTGTGCACAGTGATGCATGGTTACTTTCTGTGGCTTTTTATTTTGGTGCTAGGTTTGGATTTGATAAGGCCGATAGGTAATTGTTTACCTGTACCCCTTTATAAACGTGGTTTTACTCTGCTGATTAGATTTTTTCTTTAATGGTGTATATGTTTGATCTCAATTAGCATGCATACCTTTAGGCTCAACTACTCAGATGCCTGGACATTGTTTTCACAGTATTATCTAAATTTTAAATCACGGATGATTTGAGGTTTGAATGTATCTTATGGAAAAAATTCTTTTGTTGCTTTATTGGCACATGGAATAAGTAAATTGAACATTAGGTTATAAGAAATAAATGGTTAGAGACAAAAGGGATGTGTGTCTGATAAATACAGATAAACAAATCAGAAAGTGTAACTTAAAGAACACCCTTACCTAATGTACCTTAATTGCCTCTTGTAATGTTTGCTACATTGGTAGTTACAACTAGTTGTAAGCATGTCATTCTTTGTTTCATTCGAGGAAAAGTAGCTGACTATCGAAGCAGAATATGAATAGCTGACTTTTCTATTGGGGTTTTGGTTGGTATCATACTTTATTACTGCTATATACTAACATAGTACCTGTCAATGCACAGACACTTTGTTGTATTGTTCTTTTCCCCTTCCTTTATCTAAGGCAACTCAATGGAATATTTCAAAGATGAATGCTCACATATTAGTATGTTCGTGACATATAGTGTTTTTTATGGTAAATAAAAAGAATTGTCTAAGGTTTAGTAAAAATAAGGTGCTAGTTCTAACTTAGAGAACAGATGAACATTGGACTGTTCAATTTTAGTTTCTCTTCTATTAAAGTTGAAAACCGTACCTGTAGTTTATACTTGAAATGTTCCATACAGCTGGAGAGAACTAAATCTTCAAACTTTTGGTGAAAGATTATACTGTCTATACCGTATCAATTATCAAATAATATGTTGTAATAATCACATGGAAAGGGTTAATATTTTGTGATCTTTTCTTTTCTCTTTTGTCACAACTATTGAAGTTCTCTGTTTTTTAACTGATTGCAATCTGCTGAACTTGCTATCATTATCTAAACTTTCCAGTGAATTACCCATCACTTCTCTGGATGGGGGTGGAATTGATCTGGGGATTCAGTCATAAGAGAATATTTATGTTACGATCCTACTCCAAGGTATGGGACTTGGAGTCCCACATCGGAAACATAAGGTTCTAGTGTGGGGTTTATATGAACTTTGGGCTCTCCTACCTCATGAGCTAGCTTTTGGGGTGAGATTCTCTCAAGGTTCGTATCAATTGGTATTAAAGCCTTCCGCTATGTCTTCCAATTGCAATAAAGCGGCGCTGGTGATGACACTGGCATTGCAGTGTTAGCCCAGGGCTAGTAAAAAACTAGTGCAATGTCGGGGCTGCGGAGTGTGGTGGAATGTTACGATCCTACTCTAAGGTACTGGACTTGGATTCCCACATCGGAAACATAAGGTTCTGGTGTGAGATTTATATGGACTTTGGGCTCTCCTACCTCATGAGCTAACTTTTGGGGGGAGGTTCTTCCAAAGTTTGTATCAGATTACCTTCTAATAGTCTTGTTGGTATGATTAGCTGTAGGCAGCTCGTGCGCGCTGGAGGAAGTTTAGTTGAGCAGTGGTAGCATCCAACTCAGCTTGCAGGGTTATGTTGTCGTTCTGGAGCTCTTCCATTTCCTTGGCGGACTTTGACTTAGTTGGAAAACTAAAAAGCTGTGGCACTTCTGACTTTCATGAATAATGTGCACAGATTTGCGTACATGAGGAAGTGGGGAGTTCACATTTTTGTTTCTGCTACTTAGTACTTAAGATGTTTACTTTTATAATTGCAAGTTCATAATAACAGCACCGTTCAAAAATTGCTAAAGGTATTTATGGATATTGAAGTTTCGGTACTCATTCAGGCCTATGAATTCTTTTTTTAGTTTTGCCATGATTTCAGACTATCAGCTTTTCCTCTTGGTAGAAATAGACTTCTTCATTATCTTTATACTCTTTTAATGTTCCATTGCTCACATTTTAATAATTTCTTTTTTTAATTATAACGCGTGTTTTGTTTTAGAGAACAACACATTGTTTCTGTACCTTTGCTTGGAATTTCTGCTGTTAGTAGACCTAATACCATTTACTTGACATTGATTTTGACCCCCCTTTAGTGCTAATAGTGCTTCAGTTTGCATTCTCTAATGCTGGTAGTTAATTTGATATATGTTTTTCAGTTTGTTCTCTTTTTCTTTTTTTTGAAGATTACTCTGTTATCTTTCATCAATATCTATTTCTCATTCTTCATATGCAGGAAGCGACTGTTTAATATGATAAATGATCTTCCAACAATATTTGAGGTTGTTACGGGGATGGCCAAGAAACAAGGAAAGGAAAAGTCATCAGTTTCTAATCATAGCAGTAACAAATCCAAATCAAACTCCAAGGTATGCAAGCTTGAAAATCAAACTAGCCATTAGTATGATAGTTTGCTGATGGCATAGCTTTTAACAATGAAGCTAATTACTTTATTCTCTTAATTTTTTTTGAATTTGATACACGACTCGGTGGTTAGTTTAGTGTTTTTTCTGATAATCTCTTTTGGTTTGGCAACTTCAGAGGGGTTCTGAATCTCAAGTGAAGTATTCAAAAGCAATTCAACCGAAGGATGTGGATGAAGATGGTTTGGAAGAGGAAGATGAGGAGGAGCATGGAAATACTCAGTGTGGGGCATGCGGAGAGTACTATGCGGCTAATGAATTTTGGATTTGCTGTGATATATGTGAGAAGTGGTTCCATGGAAAGTGTGTGAAGATTACCCCTGCTAGGGCTGAACATATCAAGCAGTACAAATGTCCATCTTGCAGCAACAAGAGAGCTCGACCTTGTTAGTGGCTAGGATAGTTACTACTATATGTCCTGGCAATTATATGGCTGCTAATTTGTTTAGTAGGTCCGGTTTATTCGTCTTTGTCAGTTCTAGTTAAACTGTTTCAGTTGTTACATTAGGTATCTGACGTACTGTTTATTCCGTCTAAAATTTGCATATTTATGTTATGAGCGAACTTAAGAATTGTGTTATGGGTTTACTTAATTTAGTGGTGTCTTAGTGAACTTTATATTCTCCCCCGTAATGTTATTCTCTTCTTATTCAAGTTCTAGCATTTGTCAAGGACAGCACGGAATTGTCAATGTGAATTGGGTTAACCCTCTATAAGCGTGTTAGATTTTACATTCAGTAATAAGTATTTTTGGCTAGTTTATTATCTGAATGAGCGTGAGTTTGCACTTAGAAGTGGATTTTGCGACTTTGGTGTGAGAGATTGGCCCGGAACAACGACAAAAATGTTATACTATTCACAAAAAATTACTTCGATATCACAGATTGTAATTTTTTTTAAAAATGTCACGTCATTTAACTCGCTACAACACCTGGTAAGTTAGGTGTGGACATGTGACAGCAAGTTTATGGCCACGTAAGTTGTTGCACAATATAGCGAGATTATGTGGCCGTTATGCTGCATAGTATGTTACGTGTTAGCTTTTCTGACATGTGACTAATCATGCTGTGTTGTATAATATATTATGTGTACGTAGCTCAGCAGTCCAGCATTTTTGGTCTAATAAATTCATCATTTTTCTTCTCAGTTTTTGCATCATTGTGGTCTAATAAATTATAGGATAATTTTATTATTGAATTTTGTATTTTGAAATTGATTTAAGGAAAATTAATATTGGTTTGAATATTTTAGTTTTAAATAACTGATGTTAAAATAATTTGATGTAGGACTGTTAATTTAATTTATGAGTGTTAAGTAATTTAATTTAATTTAGGAGTGTTAATGAATTAAATTAAATTTTTGTTTTCTAATTAATTTAGTTTAATTTTGTATATATTAATTAATTATTTTTAGGAGTGTTAATTAATTTCATTTAATTTAGTTTATGTCAAGTTAATTTTTTTTGAACTATTAAGTAATTTAATTTAATTTAGAAGTGTTAATGAATTAAATTTAATTTCTGTCTTTTTATTAATTTAGTTATATTAATTTAAATTATTTTAGAATTATTAATTAATTATTTTTAGGAGTGTTAATTAATTAATTTAATTTAATTTATGTTAAGTTAAAATTATTTTGAACTGTTAAGTAATTTAATTTTTATTTTTTTTTTGGTAAACTGTAGTGGAGAAACCCCACAGAAACTACATCAAAGAAATCCATCGCAAAAAGTAAGCCTGAGAAAAATCAGCTAAATACAATAACCAAATACTAGGGGGACGGGAAAGAACTAAAAGTATTATCTAATGAGTGATCCAGAGGGTATTTTGATAGCCAATCCGCACATCGATTGCTCTCTCTATAAGAGTGAATCAGTTGAACTTCTCAATCCTTCAGTAACCAAGCTCGAATACGAGCCACCAGCCTGGACTCTCGAGCTGCTCCGCCATCTCTGGTGAGCAAAGTGATAACTGACAAAGAATCACTTTCAAGAATTATATGTCTCTAACCTCCAACCCAAGCAACTTCTAATCCTTTCAAGACACTGCAAAGTTCTGCCACAAAAGCTGAGCAAATTCCTATATGGTATGCAAAGCCTTGGAGCCAGTACCCAGATGCATTTCTAATTTCACCACCACACGCTGAACCACCACCATAATTTCTAGCTGCCCCATCTGTATTTAATTTTACCCATCCGTTTATAGGAGCTGTTAATTTAAATTTAATTTAATTTAGGAGTGTTAATGAATTAAATTTAATTTATGTCTGTTAATTATTTTAGTTTAATTTACTTTTATTAATTTAAATCATTATAGAAATGTTAATTAATTATTTTTAGGAGTGGTGAATTTATTAGACTTAAAATGCTAGATTGCTGGTAGGGGTGTAAATGGCTAGGTTAGGTTAGACTTTGGCTTAAATAAGTTAGGTTTGTGTAAAAGATATTGGGTTTAGCCTCACCTATTAGCCTTTATAGGCCCCAAATTATAAGTTTAGTCTGACCTATATTTAAAAAATAAAAGCAAACTTGTTAGCCTGTTTAAGCCTATTAAATACTCAACAATTAAAAGAATAACTAAAATAATATTATTTTATTATTCAAAATTATTAAAATAATAAATTTATTTATTTTATATATTGTAAATAATATGATATAGGCCCGACTTGTACAAAAAAGCCTATGGCATATTTTCTAAATTGGTTTTTTTTAAAAGACTATGCTTGTTTTATTTTACTATTTATAATAGGCCAAGTCTGGCTTAATATAGGCTGGGTCGTAGGCCCCTGTAGGCCGGCCTAGCTTATTTACTCCCTATCTGTTGAACTACTTACACATAATATGTTATGCAGCATAACATGTATGGCAGAAAAGCTGACACATAACATGTTACGCAGCAAAGCGAGTTTGACACGTTGTTTTTCACGTAATCTCGTTGTATTGTGCAGCGGCTTACGTGGCCATGAACTTGCTGCCACGTGTGCACACCTAACACGTGAGTGGCATTTGGAAGAAAAAAAAAATCAATCCATGGCATTAAGGTAATTTTTTGTGACTAGTGTGGCATTTTTGTCGTTGCCCTTTGCATGGATTTCTCAAAAAAGTTCTTTTTACAAAAAGTAGAGCTATTTAGATTTTTAAAAAATATTTGACTTTTGAGTTTTGCTATTTTTAGAAACTAAAATTTTTAGCTTCTAAAAAAAGCAGATTTTTGACTTTTTTGTAGTTTCTGTTTTTTTTAAAGCAGATATCCAAACGAAACTTTTTATTTTCTAAAAGAAGTAACCTTTGGCTAAAAAAAGTCCAACTAAACGGAACCTAAATCTTAGCATGTAGGGGTGTAAATGGGCTAGGCCGACCTATAGGGGCCTACGGCCTAACCTATATTAGATCAGACTTGACCTATTATAAATAGTAAAATAGAACAGGCCTAGGCTTTTAAAAAAATCTACTTAGAAAATAGACTATAGGCTTTTTTGTACATGTCAGACCTAAAAGCTTACAGACCGACCTATATCATATTATTTATTTAAAATATAATAAATAAAATTATTCTTTTAATAATTTTAAAAAATATAATAATATTATTTTAGTTATTCTTTTAATTGTTGAATGTTTAATAAGCTTAAACAGGCCTAGGTCATGGCCAAGACTTTTATTGTTTAAATATAAGTCAGGCTAGACTTATAATTTAGGATCTACACTGGTTAATAGACTAGACTATACACAATATTTTTTACACTGGTCTGATATATTTAAACCAAAACCTAACCTAACCTAACCTATTTATAACTACTAGAATGATGTGTAAAATAATCACTGGAAAGTGAAAAAAAATGATAAGCAATATAACCGGCCTCTTAAAATTTAAAGTAAGAAAAAAAATGTAAGTTTTAAGATTTTAAATGCTTAGATTAAAACTGCACGACTCGCATACCCAAAAAAAAAAAAAAAAACTGCACGACTCTGTTCTATTCAAATAAGAGCACATCTTGTACAAATGTAATTTTTTCTAATAAAATTAAAATTTAATAAGCTTTACTATCTAGTTCCCTCTAAGAGATAATAATGAAGAGTTGAGTAGATGTTTCCTTCTAATTACAGCACCAGTATTGGATTGGCCCCATACTTGAATACTTAATAAGTAAATATCATATTATTTACACATATAATAATATAATTTATTAATTACTCAACTATCTACACATTTTGTCTATAATACTCTTTAAATATTATAATAATTGTAATTATGTCAAAACATACCTTTTCATAATTTCATTAAATTGGCGAAAAGATGAAGTCAATTTTTGGGGCTTTTGTTTTTCATGTGAATCAAATCTCTTGCCATAGTTCATTTAGTGGTTTTGAATGGTGAACACTTTTATTGGATAAAGAATGCGGAGTAATAAAGTTTCAAGTTGCAGTACCCTATATTCATTTATAAATGGGGGTTTTGCACTTCATTTCTAAGCATCCCAATTTCAAAAGAAGTGTTTTCTTTACATCCCAATTTAGAGAAAAAAATATCAAATGTTGTTATTTTGAGTAAGACATATTTTCCTAATATAAGAGAGAGTAATATTGTCTTTTTCTTGTATTTAGAGAGGGTGTAATTTCTTTCATATAATTAAAATCTTTTTTGACCATGCCAATAATTTTTTCCAAATGGATTTTTCTCATAAATTTTATGTGTCAATTCAATCCATATTCGTTGATCTCTTAACTGGTGGAATTAAAATAAAATTAATTGCACTATTAATGTTTAGGAATATGGTTCAAATTTATAGTGGTTATTTAATTAATTATTGTTGCAATTGTACGAAAAGGTTCTCACCTACCAATTGATGTGATTAAGAGTACCTTGAAAATTTTGTTTCTCTCAATTGTAGTTCAATTATTTGTTAGCATTTAGCTTTGATGAGAGCGTAATTTTGTCATTGTGATTTTCTATCTAGGTTTTCTTACACCATTTAAAAATGAGATTGATCTCTTTAAATACAAATCTATACAATTAAATCTTTTTCATCAATGGTATCTTTGGAACTCGAGCATTTATGTTTGACGAAAGCATAATTCACGTATCATATGCTGAATCTGTGTAAGTTTTGTCTTTAATATAGGGTAAAAGCTGTGCTAATAATATCATTAATGTTAAAAATACATTAGCTATAATAAGTTAATAAATACTTTTAAAAACATTAAATAATTTTTAATTAATTAAAAAAGATTATCAGTGAATAATGACCGTTACATGGCGGCGGCGACAAATTTTCTTAAGAAAAATATTTTTAAAATGATTACAAAAATGGAGGTTATATATAACTTTTTATATTATTATTATTATTATTATTATTTTGGATAAATTACGGGTATCTTTCATGAAAGACAATCTTGTTGGAGACGAGTCCATAATTAACCCCTCCTAAACATGTTACTTGTGAGCTATGTAGCACCGACACCGACACTGGACACGACACGACGACAAGTTAATTATAAAAAATGTTACATTTTGACATGTTAGGACAGTTTTGATATTAAATAATATTTTTAATTTATGTTGCGTATATTATATTTATTATTCAATAATTTAACAAAAAAATAAAGTTAAACTTATAATACCCATTAATTTTGCAAAGAAACATAATTACATAAAATATTACAAATATTTATATTAAATTCTATAAAATGGTAATAGTAATCCAACGAATTTAATATTTAGAACTAAAAACGCAACGCAACATAACCTTTTGAATTCTTTTTTGAGTTTCTACATCGTGTGTTGGAGTGTTGGGGTGTCGAAAAGTATCAGACACGACACGTCCATTAGCGGAGCTAGGCTCCAACTGGAGCCCGGGCCAAAAAATTATATGTGTATTTATTTTTCCTAATTTTAGTTAGTTCATATCATAATATATTTAAATTATATTAAATACAAAACACCTGAGCAGGAAGCATAAAAAAATTATAATATATTCAATATTTTTTAATTTTATTGAATATATTTTAATTTTTTTATATAAATGAAAATGGAACACATAACTTAATACAACTTACCCAAATTTCTCACCAAACATATTTTAATTTTTTGATAGGGCCAAATTACAAATATTAGCCCGGGTCAAATTACAACTTTAGATTGGGCCATATTATAATTAATTATATAATTATACATAATAAGTACAATTTATTAAAATTTAGCTCAGACCGAGGCCACACCCAATTAACACGTGGCTCCGCCACTGGACACGTCGAAATTTTTAAAGTATCAGTGTTTGATAGCTTGTGAGGATTAAACATACATACTCTCACTCCACATACTCAACTTGCATACTTACATTATTTCTATTAACTTTGAATTAAAATCAAATCAATATACAAAATATTATGGTCAACGGAAGATTTAACCATGTTTGGTGTTTATCATTCTAATAAAGGATGCATAACTAGTTATCCTATCCATGTTACCCACCAAAATAAGTTGCCTAATCCAATGTATTTGTCATTGTCTGTCTATCTCAATTTCATGCGGCAATCTGTCTGTTTCTAAGGCAAAGGCTGTTTAATGTTGCCAAATATATGCCTCAGAAAAATTGTACCTTCCAAGAGATCTAGCGGATACAGAACGAAGATCAGAGATTGGCCCGCTGTTTTGGCTTCTCAATGGTCCCAAGAAATACAAATTCAACGTTGATAATCCACAGAAAAGAAATAGGTAGTACAATGTTTTTTTTATTATTATTATATTTAATTAATTAATTAATTTGGGCTAAGAGTTGCTTATGCTTTGGTTAATTGAAAAATGGTTTTCCTCATCAGCCCCTTGTTTCAGGAAAGGACAAGATTCAGGAGGCGCTGTTCGGCGGTATACCCACCCCCATGCTGCCTCTGTTCCGTTTGCCATATATTTTTGAGTTCTCTTATTCTGCCACCGCTCATTAATATAGTTTCTATTGTACCACTCATGTCCTAATCTTATTGGGATTTAAACTCTTGGCATATCTTTGCCATTGTATAAAGCAAATATATCTCATTTCACTCCTTCAATAAAAACGGTTACATTGCAATGTTCCATTACCATATATCGGTCTCCAACCCAGAGCACTTCTGTTCTGCCATTGGTTGTGCTCCCGAAATTCATGTTTTTCTTTTTCTTTTTTGCTAACTGACTGTTTGTTGTGCATATAAACCATTTGCTATTGTTTAATCACTTTATGAGTATATCATCTATTCATAACGGTATGGAGATCAACTTAAAAAACCTAAAATTTGATGGAGTTAGTGAAATAACCAACTTTTTTACTCTTAAAACATAGTAACAAATTAAATATAGGAAAAATGTTTTTCATTTTAAAAGGACATATAAATTATGTCATTTTAGTTGAAATCACTGTATTATTTAATATTTATATTGAGGAAGGTTATACTTACAACTACTTTTATTATCCTTTGATCAAAATTAAATCAATGGCTTTCATTTGACAACATTTTGTAACTGTAGATCTGATTTTGGTCCAATGGTAATAAAAGTAGTTGTAAGAGATTATAACGGAAATGAAATTGTAAGTATAATATTTCTCATATTTAAATTAAATTTTTTTTTATCAATAACCTCTCGTTCTCTCACCATGATTTCTCTCATCAATAAAATTGCCCAAAATTTTTTGTGCAACAACTTATTTTATTTTTTTTGGGGGGGGGGGGGAATTAGAGGTATTCTCTCATGAGGCAATCTTGTTCCAGTCGGAAACATTTACATTATGGTGGGATTAACTCTCTCAATGGAGATTTTTAGCATTTATAAGAAATTGAATCTAAAATCTTACTTAAGTGGAATCAAGTATGTACCACTTGAACCAACCCCTTTAATTGTACAACAACTTTTTGGCCTTTTAACATTTCCCAAATAATAAGATAGAGATTATATTTAAAACTTTAATAATGCCTTCTAAACTTTTATACTTATTTTATATTATTTGTTATTGTTAGAAAATTAAACTAATGATGATAAAATGTTATGTATAAGGATAACTTACTTCAAATAATTTATCCTAAATGTCCAAAAAAATAAAATAATAATAATAATAATTTATCCTATTCAAATGGTATTTTACTACCGGAGAATATAATAACAACTTTGATCCCAATTGATTAAGATGTTGGGAGACTTTCACCACAAAAGCTAGAAGCTGGTAAGAAAAATAAACTTATTTTATAATGCCGTCTAACCTTTTATACTTATTTTATAATTATTTTGTTAATGTTAGAAAATTAAACTGATGATAATAAAGTGTTATGTGTAAGTATAATATACTTCAAATAATTTATCCTATTGAGGTGGTATCTTGCAACTGGGGGACATAATAAAAACTTCGATACCAATTTATATGGATTTTAGAAGATTCCCACCCCAAAAATTAGGTAAGACAGCAAAGCATAAAATTCATATAAACCCCATAGAATTATGTTTTTGAACATGACCCTGCGATTCATGCGTCCAGTCTCTACGACCCTTGAAGGTCGCAACTCGCAAGGGCCAGAGCCCCGTCCATGCCACCCTCAGGATTTGAGTAAACTAAAGAATAACACTTTTAATTTCTAAAATCTGAAAGACAAGTAGACAAAAATAAGCAGAAATTATAGGTCTTGTGTTAGGTAAATTTTGAGAAGAAAAACAAAGTTGAATGTACAAGACTACAAGCTACTACAGACTAAATTTCAAAGAAAATTAAAAAAAGAAAGAAAGAAAGAAGGATCCTAATTCCTATATATAATCTTTTAAACTGCTTGGCATATTATGCGGTCAAATTTCTATTGACTCTTTGTAGACATGCGTTTAAGAAACTCATAGGTAGTAATCATGGTAGTTGCAGACACGGACATTGAAGCCCACCTTGGCCCCAATCCTCTGTAACAAGCAGGGATGCCACCTTCCTTCACCAAATTCCGAACCGTCTGCAAAAAAGTTAACGGCATCTTTCGTCCATTCTCCTCTGCATCCAACACCTGCAACCTTGTCTTGATTGTGTCAAGTGGCATCGTTACAATTGCTGAGACCCCACTGGCCATAATAGCACTCAATCCTTGAACAGCTACCATTGCCTTGGAATCAGGTCTAAAACCACACCCATTACCCAAACCACTCTCATCCCTTTTCCCCATATAACAACCAAAAGCACCCCAAATGAGCCTATGGACCATTGAATATGAAGTCCACCAAACCGCATTGGATGGCGCATAAGTCAAAATGGAAACCCCAAATCCCCTATAGAACCCTCTTGGTCCATCCGAACACAGAATTTTCCTGAACGCATCAAGGCCATTCCTGTAATTCTCAGAATTAAGATTAGCTAGTATAGTTTTGCTTCCACCGGTGCCTTGAACCATAAGTCTTTGGCTCACAACATCAATTGGTGTCCAAACTAACTGTGCAGCCATAGCAGAAGTGACCCCTGCCGTGGCACTAGCTATGGCAGTGGCTGTGGTGTCTGAGAAACCCAAATCAAGAAAAGCGGTGCCAACATTACTCTTGGTGATTTCAAGGGCAGCCATGTAAAGTGCACGAGCAGGGATGGTTCCCATCAAAGAAGTACCAAAACCTTTGTAAAAACCTCTGAAACCTTCGTAGCGCATAATGGCACAAGACATGTTGAGGCAAGAGTAGTGTGTGGAAGAAACCTGTTGGCGGGTCTTCAACACGACCATAGGATAAAGCGCAGCTGAAACACCGGAGAATAAGGCGGCGCCGAGGAAGAAAAACCTTGACTTGTCAAGCATGTGCCAATCAATCTCTGCTGGGATGTGAATTTCTGAAGCCGAATCATCCTCGGCTGCACTCAAACTCATCTTCGCCACTTTGGAGGAAAGGAAGATCAAAGAGCAACTCAAAACCCTTCCTTTTTACAAATCACAATCGAAGATGGGTACCCGACTTGGTTTTTACTTTTATAATGAAAAAGGACAAGTTTTTGTTTGAAATAAACATAAAGGATGAGGAATAGGAAAAAGGGGCAGAGATTCAAGAAAATGGGTTATAGATATTTGAGGAAAAAGGATGGGGTTTTTCTTTTTCTTTTTCTTTTCTTCTTGGGGAGACAGATTTGAGAGCGAGCGTGGATCACAGTGAGTGGGTAAAACATTTGTTGGGAGGATTAGAGGGTGCAGAGTAGAGTATAGGTCTTACCAGAGATGTCATGATGTTTTTTCAGTTGTTCATCTCTCTCTGAATGAAGAATCTCCGGTGGTTTTGTATAGTGGGCATAAAGCTGAAAGGTAAAACCTAATGGCGGCACAATCAGAGCAAAAAGAGAACTTGTACAGGGCGTTGTACTCGTATAGCACACAAGGAGAAGATGCGTGAAACAGGGAGAGAGAGAGAGAGGGGTTAAATTAAAGTTATGGGACAAGGTTATGGATTTTAGTGAGGGCTTTTGTGGATAAAGGAAATGGACACGTGTCCGTTGCTATCTCGGTGACCTTTTTCTCTTCTACAGTGGGGATCGCAATTTCACAACACAATCTTGTTCCTTGATTAGCCGTGGGTGAAATGTGAATGGACTAACCTTTTTAGGCTGTGGTTTTAAAAACCAAAATCAATACCAACTGGGGCCACTCTCGGCCGCCGCATCATCCTTGCTCCGGTTTAGCCATCTCTGTTTTCTATCTTTGCCTTTTTTTTGCTTTTTTGGGTAGATCTTAAGAGAATGTAACTTATGTTTAGTTTTATTTGGTTCAGATAAAAAAACTTATTTCTCTATTATATGAGATAAAATTATTTTTATGAAATATGGGTTTGAAAAAGAAGAAGAAGGTGTTTTGAGAATTTTTTCCTTGAAACATGAATTTTCTTACAATGTTTTTTTTTTTTTTCTCAAATTCCAAAACAATGTCATTTTGAAATTAAAAAAAAAATATTTTGAGAATTTTATTTTTTCTTTGTAACATGAATTTTCTTAAAATATTTTTTATTTTTTTCTTCAAATCTTAGAGTGACATTATTTTTGAATTGTAAGAAATAATTTTATCACTTTTGGCAAGAGAAATATTGGTAAAAAAATATTTTTAAATTTAAAACAAATCATATTGTATAATGAATATTCGCCTTTTTATAATAAATAAAGTTTTTTAATTTGTAAATTATTAATTCTAAAGCATTTTTTTACAATAAATTATTGGTTCAAACTGTTTTTCTTTTATATTCTTGATAAACCAATATTTATATATAGACTTATAAATATTTGTATGTAAAGTTATTTTTGAATGAGTTCATCGGGTCACCTTGAGCCCAAACCTTTATTCCATTGCTGAACGAATGCCATTTTGTACGGTAGATATATTCCTTATCATTTTCACATACAACGCCAATAAATTAGAGGAGCAAGTAGAGATAAATTGTTGAACTCACAAGGAGACGAGAGGATTAATGTACATATGACTAGAGTCTATCATATGAAAAACGAGAGCTCAACTAAATATTTCGAGGGGTGCAATGGTAGGGGAGTTTTATATTTTTGGATGAGAAAGTTCACATGGGTTTCTAGTTGACCATGTTTGGTTGGGATTTCTAAATAATTTGCATAGTATATTTTCATTTGCATAGACATATAATTTTATGTGTAAAATTGGAGCAAAAACACTATCTAGGAATCCCACTTAGAATGTGATGTTTTTGGATTATCAACAAAATGCAAAAAGAAGTTTACCCTTAAGGGCGCGTTTGGTTGAGGAAATTTTTTTGGAATAGTAGGAAAATGAGATAGATAGATAAAGTGAGATAGGCAGAAAAATGTAAAAAAAAATTGTTTGGTGGGGAAAAACTTTACTGGGAAAATTATGTAACTTTATGAAATTAACAGTGCATTAAAAGCCAGATAACCAGTTTTTCGAAAAATTCCACCTTCAAATTGGGTTTCTAAACAGTGCGAATATCTATGTTTCTCATAAATCCAGACAAATTGGATAGATGGGTTTTTTTGTGAAAAACGTTGAAACAAACATGATGTTTCTAAAAGCCATACTTGAGAAAGATAGATATCCCCTAAAAAACTCCCAACCAAACACCACCTTAAATCAATTTTTTTGATAATATTTTGGTTTACCAAATAATTTTTTTTTTTCTAAAAAATATTTTTTCACCATATTCTCGATAATTATATTTTTCTAATAAATTTTTTTTTTCTTTACCAAATACGTCGTTACGAATAATGAAGAGATTCAACGTAAATGTCCTTTCTCAAGCAACCAATGAGCAAGGTGGAGGTGTACGCTTCGCGCGAGAGTGTATATCTGACTGCTAACTATGTGATGATGTCAAATTAAGTCATCGATTTGATCTCACATCTTATATTTAGAAGAGACTTAAATATATTCATATATGATTTAACTCATATTTTAAATTAATTTTATAGCCGGCTCAAAAAAATTAAAATTTATAAAAATACGAGAAGAATCAACTCACTTTAAAAAAATAATTATTATTGAATTAACTTAAAAAATAAAATAAAATAATATATGAATAGTCCAATGGACCCTACTCATGTGTGAGCCATCATAATCCTCGTGTCGAGGATATGCCACCTGGGAATATATCTGATGTCCAAAGGGACAATTTTGTCCCGTAATTGGATAGAAAATTAGGCCTCAAGATGGACCGAATGCACTCATCCAAAACAAAAGTAAAAAAAGCCTCGCGGACATCTCTTCGTGTTCAATGAATTCTTCATGTGAAAACACAAACACAGAGACTGATCTTTTTGGATAGCAGCATCCTGAATGAATTGATTTATTCGGAAAAAAATTAAGAAGGATCTATCTTGCGGTCAAAATACGAAGATTTTTTTTTTTTTTTTTTTGGTGAAGGTTATATCAAATGAATTAACTTATTAAAAGAAAAAACTTAAAGGATCTATCATATGATCAAAATACAGGAAATTTCTTTCTTTTCATGAAGAATTAGATCCAATGAAAGATCTATTTCCAGGTCAAAATAAATGGAATTTCTTACTTTTCAATTTTCGTGAATGATTATTGCAAACCATTGATGACTATTGCAATTCTTTTCGTGATTGCGAGTTACTTGGTAAAGACCAATTATTGTGTATTACTCGTGGCCTTATTTATTCAAGGCACATAACTTTATTGTAGAATATTTGATTTGCTTTTTAAAATTTGTAATATTAATTACTTACACTTTTTTATTCATATGAATTTTTTAAAAAAAATTTAACGGTTTATATTCAAAATAATTATTTTAAATTTAATTGTTGCTTAAATTTTCATTTTCTCCAGGATAAACTCTTTACTCTCTCAAATCAATTACTATCAATTTCTCAGCTACATATTAAATTAGATTATATTCATTTGAAAGTGGCTTAAAATTATAATGTACTAAAGAATTTTGACTTGACATCATCCTTAATTTATTTTTAGAATTTTAAATTAAAATGTTTAAAAATTAATTTAAAATTTTTATAATGGGAAATATTTTTCGTCTACTATATATTTTAAGATGTCACATGAATTATTTATGCGTTTTTTAAATAATTTTAAATATTCTTTCAATTGTTTCTTATAAAATTTAACTTGAAATTAGGATTTAATAGACGGTATACTAGTCATTATTAATTATACATGATTATATTAGTAACAAAAGTTTTTTAAATAACGGTTAGAATAAATTTGTTAATAAATAAATAAAAATAATAATAATTTGTGCATAAAAACAAAAACAGTCAATACTGAACATCATTTTCATGGTAGCTGGCGGTCACGTTATAAACACTAGGAACTCACGCCATTCTTCTGCACAGACATATATGCTTAAACAAAAAATTATGAATAAATGCATTCGCAGACTCATGCAATACTGCAACTTCCTACACTTCTCTAATGCTTTTTTTTTTCTTTAAGATTCATCGTGTTAAATGTAGTATATAAATAAGGGAATCTATTAATCTCATGTTACATGAGATAATTATGTCATGCAACTGAGACAAGATAGTGGAGTCCACCATTTGTAAAAAAAAAACAAAAAAATAATAATAATATGAACTCCACTATTTTGTTTCTGTTAAATGAGATAATTATTTCTCTATAAATAATTACAGGTGACATGTAATAGCAGAATATAGCATGCAAATGAGAGGCTGTTTTATAAACAACAGAGGTTTGAGAGAAAAAAAAAAAAAGGAACAGCATTATTTTGAAAAAATAAAAGGAATGTACTTAATTAAATAACACTAATAACATATTTCTTGGAATCGCTTGTGTAAATTATCGGCAGACGCTTAGAAAAATAACTGCATGAACTTGTAAATTTTTATTATGTTTATAATTCTTGACAATTCAATCACTCTGAGTTTTAATTACGTGGTTCTGATTTCTAAATTATGTTTATAATTTTTTTTTAACAAATCCTTTTAATGGTCAAGATGATCTATATTTATTTCTCAATTATATATGATCTTGCTGTTAATACACAGGCCTGTAAGAAAGATTTTTTATTGATTGACCTATGGCTATAAGGAATTTAGACTCCTTAAATAATTGTCGTCACAATAAAATTTCAAATAAATCATTTTTGGCGTAATTATCTGAAACTGAGTAAATCATATGATCTTTCCTTTTTCTTTTTTTCCTTACATAATAATCATACGAACTTTTCAAAATACTTACTAGCTACATTAACTGCCTAGAATACACCGAAAAACTTAAGATAGAAGCATATGTTCAATCATTTCCTTCCTTTCACTATCAATAATGCTACAAGTGGTATTACTCTTTAATATTTATAAAGATTTGTTAATTAGACATGCTATATCAGCAATATTATTTTGCCAATAAATATTTTAAAACATATAATATTTAAAAAAAAAAAAAAAGACAAACTCGTAATTATGTGGTGTTAGTTGAAGTATAGTATTTACATTTTATACAAGCGACTCATTATTTGGAAAAAGAAATCAGGTACCCCAGAACCTTCAACTATCTTCTTCACTAGATCATTCTAGAGACCACTCAATTTCTCACTAACAAGCTCATTCACTGGAGAAAGCTCAGGTTATTTTTTCTTTAAAGCTCTATAAATAGTCACCACGACGATCACTATTCTTCATCGATTGATTGATCCAATCTGAATCTGAGGAAACTAAGAATGGACTCGAGGAAAGTGGGTTTGGGTTCCCCGATTGTTGTCAATCCTAGAAGACATGCTTGAGTTCACAGAGTAACCGGAGAAAGAGAAAGGCAAGAACAACCCTTGCAGAGCTTATGTCCGAGACGCCAAGGCCATGGCGGCTACACCAGTTGACGTGGTGGAGTATTCAAAGCGCTATGTGTTCGTGGTGGACATGCCGGGGACATCAAGGTGCAGGTGGAGAACGACAACGTTTTGGTGGTGAGTGGGGAGAGGAAACGGGACAAAGACAAGAAGGATGTTGGGGTGAAGTACTTGAGTATGGACTATGGAGAGAAGGGTTGGGAAGTTTATGACGAAGTTTTCACTCCCTAAAATAAAGTGACAACGATATTTAGTTTTTCACTCCCTAAAATAAAATGGCTTTGATATTATTTAAGAAAAAAAATTAATATCTGTGAAAGTAACAATCCCTTAGTATTATTCTGCTATAAGAAAAATTTCTCCCGCTACAAATGACTTATAAGATCAAGTCATTCATCGTTAACCTACTCTCGGTGACGTGTATCTCTAGCTATTCACGAACCAAATACTGAGTATAATATTTAATCTGATTTAAGTTGATAAAAATAAATACATAACTACGTATGCATTATTTGCCGAATACAATGTTGTTGCAAAGCTCAGTTATCGTAACGTGGAGCCACGTGGAAATGAGCATTCCATGCGAACAACCACGTGTTACGTGTATCAGAGATTGGGACAAAAAGTCACCGAGATACTAGGATGTTATCTGAATCATGTTATTGATGTTGAGCGAGAGCGGGACACATCGAAAGCCACGTTTGCAATCAAAACAATGCCACGTCACATGACACATGACACACATGCACCTCCTCCTTCACCCCTACAATAATATATAACTCGAGAAGGTGCATTGTTTTTTTCTCAATTCAATCAAATACAGTCAGCTTAATTAGAGAAACAATGGAGGATTTGAGGAGTTTTGGGTTTGATCCTCGTCTTGTTGATTTCCTGCTTGACCACATAGACTTCTCCGACGAAACGGACACGAAGTCACACCACGCGCCATCCCGAGCCTACGTTCGAGACTCGAAGGCGATGGCTAGCACTCACGCTGACATCCTTGATTACCCGGACTCGTACAAGTTCGTGGTGGACATGCCTGGCCTGAAATCGGAGCAGATAAAGGTGAACATGGAGGATGACACTCTTGTTGTGTGTGGTGAGAGGAAGAGGGACAAGGACAAGGACCACAAAGAAGGCGTCAAGTACCTTCGTATGGAGAGGAGGCATGGCAAGTTCCTCAAGAAGTTTCAGCTCCCTGACAATGCCAACTGTGATCAAATCTGTGCATGTTATCAAGATGGGGTTCTCACTGTCACTGTCCACAAGAATCCACCCCCTGTGCCCAAGAAGCCCAAGACCATTCAGGTCCAAGTTAGCTCCCCTGAACGTCCCCAAAACCAACCCCAACCTGAGAACCAAGATGGCCATGACACCCAGGCCTGAAGATGTGACTGTCGTTTCTCCTTATAATATGTATTAATTATCCTATCCTATATGCCATCTGAATATATGTAGTTATGTTTTATGTGTTTAATTTCGTTTTCTTGTTTGAGTGTGTGGTATGACATGTCACCGTACATGCATGTCTGATGTGTGTTATGTTACTATTAAGTAAATGCTTCTCCAGCCCGCTTCTATATTTTACAGAAATAAAATATCATATCACCTGTATGGTTTAATTTTAACCCCTTCATAGTTTAATAATGATTATATTCGATGGCCATAGACTCGTGGCTGTGGATGGACTTGGATTTAACGGGAATGCCAAATAAGCCTTTATTTACATGGGCCTGTGTTTTCTGATCCAGCCTCTATTTGTTACGAAGCTAGGTAGATCCGACTCAGCCTTAAATAAGAGGCCGAACAAGAAGACAATAAGATAAGATTTTTATTTTATTTTGTTTTTTAAATTTTTGACATAAGAAACAAAATTCCACGTCAGAGACATTCTTCTCTTCTGGACCCTACTAGAAGCGTTCGCACTTGGAAGCGAACCTCCTGGAACTTCCTACGCACACTCTTTGTATCTCTCGAAGCTCCCATTATTTTTCCTCTTTCAGTGTCACTCTTATAAATACTGTCACTGGTTCTGCATCCGATCCATAAAAAACAAAACAGCTGAAGAGAAGAGAGAAAAGCAATGGATTTAAGGTTGATACCAGACTCTCCGTTGTTGAACACTCTGCAACAAATGATGGACCTCACAGACGATTCTGCCGAGAAGAACATCAATGCTCCAACTCGAATATACGTGCGTGATGCAAAGGCAATGGCTGCCACTCCTGCAGACGTGAAGGAGTATCCCAGCTCTTACGCGTTCGTGATCGACATGCCTGGGTTGAAGTCAGGGGACATCAAGGTTCAGGTGGAAGATGACAATGTGCTTCTCATAAGCGGTGAGAGGAAGAGGGAAGAAGAAAAAGAAGGGGCCAAGTATTTGAGGATGGAGAGAAGGGTTGGCAAGTTCATGCGCAAGTTTGTGCTCCCTGAGAATGCTAACACAGACGCCATTTCTGCCCTCTGCCAAGATGGGGTGCTCACTGTCACTGTCCAGAAGTTTCCTCCTCCTGAGCCTAAGAAGCCCAAGACTAGACTATCGAGGTTAAGGTTGCTTGAGTTTGTTTTACTTAGAATCAAACCAACCTTTGCATAGCAGCTATTTCTGTTGTGTTTTGTGTGATGCTAGTTTTGTATTGCTCCCCGTATTAGCCTTTGGTTGTAACTTGAGATAAGATCTTATGATAATATATGATGCATGCCTTTAATAATAATTATAATTTCCTTTTATGTGCTTTTAAAATTTTATTTCCTACCAAACGGTGATAGCTTATTTGACCTATGGAACCTAAGCAGGGAATTTTTTCAATATCTAGAATATTTTAAAAAAAAAATTATTTCCTTTTCTTACTACTAATCCCAGCTCCGCAGAATGATGTTTTGTTGAAAGCGAAAATGTACGACAGAGATTGTTGACAGGCATTTCTAGTTACTTTTGAGGTCTATTGAGTGCTTTCTTTCAATCTTTGTCCATAGTTGGCTATGTGCCTCTCTTTTGCTAGTCACAAATTATGAATCATCGCATTTTTAGCCCAAACAATCCGAAACGCATTATCATTCTTAATATCCAACGAACGAAAGAATTTGAGCGAGCGAATATCATGAAAATAATTTTCCCTATTCAATTTTTAAAACACGGGAAAAATGTAAAAAGTGCTGGATACAAAACCACTTTAATCTGTTTTCTAAATGTGTTACATTGACATCCAAAAAGCAAAAATAATTTTATGCCTCAGCCAGCTCTTTTATCCCTCCAATTTCGACCACCACGGGACTTAGCTATTATACCACGGTTCAGTTGATTATGTAACCACATTCTGAACGGGTTAGTGCAAATAAAAGGGAGAATAGGTTTCTTTCTTTGCACGTTTCTAGTTCTGATAGATCTGTGGGGGATTCCAGTTTCATTTTTATTTGACCTGCCCGGAAGGCTAGCTTCTTTCCTGTTAAACAAAGCAATGAAGAAACCCTCGCCATCCTTGGCAGGATCTGTCCGAACCAGGTGTTCAGCTGTGAGGTTAGAAGACAAGCAACGTTAAAATTCAGCACGAGAGTCAAATGATGATATACTTAGGAATGGTACTTACAGCCTTCAAACACCGGAAGACCGCGGCACTGCCACTCGGGGAAGGGCTTTGCGAGTTGAAATCCATGTGATTCGGCTATGGGCAGAACAGATATGATGACATCTTCATTCTCAATTTGGTTGATTGAACACGTGCTATATACAATTCTTTCAACTGCTGGAACTGCCATTCGAAAAAACACTTAAATTAAGTACTGTATCCCCAAAGCTAGACGCCTGGTTTAAGAAACATTTCTAATTTTTATGATTAGAAGATGTTAAGACCTATATAATGTCTTGCTAATGTATAAAAACGAAGAAAAAAAAAGAAAGAGAATTTTTTTTTAAGTTCTTAGCTGCCCCAATAAAGAATGAAGAGGGAGGGGAGGCGCACAAGGATTGATTAGGAGAAACGAACTAACTCACAAAGTAAAGCATGCTGGAGAGCCTTTCTTTGAAAGGCCGCAAGCTTGTTCAACCTTTCCATATCAGTATCCTGACCTATGCAATCAAATGTTGACAATTAAAGAAAAGGTCTTTAATTTGCATTAGGCTGAAAAGAAAAATTGTCGAATGCCAAAAAATAGACCATAGTACATTTTATGAATTAGATTTGTGTACTACTATAAAATGACCATGTTTGATATTTAAGATATTATTATAAACTGATTTGTTTTTGTCAATACTTAGGTAAATTTCAACTCATTTAGAAATTAGAGGCATTTCGTATGCACAAAAGTTGATAGCTAAGTACATACAATCTACATCGTAGAAGGTAGAACTAAATATAACCTGCTGCTGTAGAAGGGAGCAGATGGTCTAATCTTGAAGCAGCAGTACCAGAACCAGAGCAGGAAGGATCCAAAAGAATAGCTTTCACCTGTAATGATAAATCTGATAATAAAGACACACACACAAAAATATGAACAAGGTGTAATCACAATTTGAAAAAAAAAGTCACAATAACCGCAAGATAAATCATATGTTCCTTTCCAGATTGATGAAAAAACCAAGATGCTATTACAGAAGTTTAAATAAACAGCTTGGGTTCTTACTATGTGGAGATTAGCCACTCAGTAAAAGGGTTAACTCTAATCAGAGAAAACGTGAATGGAAAACAATATTTCTCTCTTCTTAGTCTGTGTACGAAATTTTTTATAGAAACCAAGTCACCCAAAAAGCATTCAGCAAATTACAGACTCCATCATACAAACGACCAACAAAAAATGCCAGAACCCACCAGCCCCAATATCTTGTCCTTTTTTAAATGCAAGAATACATTGATTAAGTGGCTCAGCGCAAGAAAATAACTGATCAGAATAGTAACTGTAGAAGAATAGATTGGATGCATTAAATGTTAATGTCTGATAACTACAGGCCAAAGCAATCAGTCCCACTGTTAGTAACCACTCCAGTATATAAGTCACATGTAACATAAAAAAATACAACTAGAAATCAGAAAATATAATCCACCTTAGAATATGAGGGATCCTTGGGACTTATGTTTAAGAAATCCTCATTGAGAACTTGTATGTCTGAACTTGGAGTTAAGTTTGAAGCATAGCAACACAAACTGAAAATTAACTACAAAAGACTTTTATAGTGCGCTCCTCAGCCCTGGAGGCATCGTGGTACAGTATGGAGAAAAGTGATCTGAACAACCACTAAGCAATAAGCATATGTGATTACTGATTAGTGTAACATTTTAGGAGCAATCCGATGAAAAGCATCTACTTATTAGAAACATAAAAATGGATACTAGAAGCACCAGATAGTTTTATAGTGTCTTTCAAACGCTTGATCCTTTCTTTTTGCAGCTCACATGCAATAATCCTACCCTTTCTCTTCATAAGGGCAGCAAGGTGGACAGTTTTGTTTCCTGGTGCCGCACATGCATCAAGAACCTTGAAATACATTTAAAGTGCACAATTAGAGTAAGGGTTGGAAGAAGTACCCCGAAATTCATAGATCCAACATTAGTTTTTTTTTCTTTCCAAATTATGATATTTTATAACAAAATTTATGAATGGAGCATTAATAACATGAAATTTAAAATAAAGCAGGCAGCAGGCATATGCTAGTATAGTAGTATAGCAATTGCTCACTTGTCTTCTAGTAATTAATTTACACATGGAAAAATTAGCAATTCCTTGCAGTCTTCCAAAGTTAATCATTCCTGGGGATTGTATATATAAAATTAGCAAAAAAAAATAAAAAAATTCAAGGTAACATATTTGGCAGTAGAAGAATTCTTTTTTTAAGAAATAAATCAAAATATAGAGGCCAAAAATAATAACTTCTAGATGCCTTACAAGACGAACGCTAGCAACACCTCTTTAACACAACACTTTTCAATACACTTTATTATTGGATGAATTTCATGTGGGTCCTGCTAAATAGAGAGCGGGTCCAGGCTATTTTGTGGGACTTCACCCAATAATAATAATAAGCGTGTCAAAGAACCTGTTGGTAGCATTTCTCCGCCTTACAATGGCTTAAAAGCAATATACTTGATATAATATCCTAAATTTTCAATTAGTTATCTGAAAAGGAATTGGCCCATATAAACAGAAGAATCTGTTTCAGAGTGAAAAAAGAAAACATTTTCATCTTTTCACTGTCCGAGAAGGGTATTTTGTTCATGCTTCAAAATAATGTTATCAAGTCCCATTACGGGAGATATTTTGGAATACAGTTTCACACGAAACCAATACACCAGAGCTTCCCAAGTATTCTGACCATACAAGTCCTACTTTTCTTTCTACTTTTTTCCCATACTTGTTATTTGATCATCAAATGGCTATACAAAATCTTGAAAGACAAGATGACAGCAATCCACGAAAAAATGATACATATCAACAATTTACTGCAAAAAGCATATATAAGGCGCAATTTTTTTTTTCTTTCTAGATTTTTTTTAAGAGGAAAGGAAAAAAGAGTGGTAACTAGCAAGCCACGTTGTAAAACTCCCAGAAAGAAAAAAAATCAGAAACGAGATGATAAAATATGATGTCTGCAAGGGTAATGAGGATAAAGTGGAGAGTACCTGTGATTGAATTAAATTTATATCTTAAGTGAAAACTCTTTACATCATCTAATATAAGGAAGTAATAACTCACCTCCCATCCTGGTTCAGGGCTAAGGGCTGGTGCCACCATGGAACTCGCCTTGCCCTTTACATAATTTGTCTCAATGTTAGAGAAAGTATTACCAAGAATGAATAACAAGCAACAAGAATTGCCATGTCAATATATTTCTAGAAAAGCAAAAAAAATTCACTTTCCCATCGCATGAGACCTATATATAGATAAGGATATGTATTATATAACTTCTTTGTCTTTTTTCAAAATAATAAAAAAAGAAAAAGAAAGGATGGGTAATTCCTACTTGCATAAAGATACTTCCATTCTTGACAAGAGGATGATCATGTAAATCAGTGCCTGGTGGGAGTATCAGCAAGTCAGGCAGTAAATCATCTTTTTGAACCTATATCACACCATACCACACCCCAAAGAAATAATCCTTAGATCAAGGAAGGAAGTACACTTTGTGACTTTTTTATGAATTCAATTATATAATTTCCATCAAGAAAAAGGAACAACATAGGATCTTGAAGATCAGAAATATATAAAAAATAAAATAAAATACCGAGTATTTTTCCTGAAGTTCAAGTAAGGCAGTATCAACATCCAGTTTAAGTGTATTCACACGAACATAACGAGGTACAGAAACATCTGCATAAGAAAATTTTGAACAACTTCAAAGTTATAATCACAGTAGAGCAGTAAGCCAGCAACTCTCGTGAATAAAGAATAATAGCATCCAAAATATCAAATTTCAAAATACTTATTGGTAAACTATATGCCATGAAATCAAAACATTCCAACGCATCAAAAGTAAAGAGTGCAAACTCCACATGGCATTAATAGATAAAGAAACATAACAAAAAAGCAAGAGGGTTATTTTGTTTTTGTTTTTTTGTGGGAGAAGGGGTACGGAGATGTGAAAACTGACCAGGAACATCATGCAGAGCAATCAACTGTTTAACGTTCTTCACATTTCTCTGTAACAAAATCTGTTTAAGAGTTGAACGTAGGGCGTCTTTGCGGCGCATGAGGTACTTCTCAGCATCACCAACTAGTGAAACTTCCTACATGTGACAAGCAATTGATTGTCAAAGTTTATTTAGAGAACAAGTGCACTATTGTCTTTGAGTAACATAATTCAATTTGTGGAAGTACAAGTCCTTATTACACACTATGAAAAGAAATGCACTCACCTGGCCAAAAAGGATATCATAGACAATGATGTAAATCAACTCTTGTTGTCTCTGCAAAAAGCAATGGTAGTTGAGATGTTGTGTTAAAAAATACGTAAACCGAGAAAAAAAAATCAAAGTTAATGCGCTTCATGTTATATATCATTACCTTCCACTTGGTGTTGAGAATAGAAGCAGATTCCAAGACATCCTTGATAATGGGAAGATCTGGGAACGAAACACATTGATGTTATATGAATATTTAAGAAAGAGGAGAAAGTGTAAGTGTGGTTGTTAGGTTACGTTTGAGGGTTTGACAAAGGAGAGCAAAGGTGGCTTTCTTGTTTCTAATAGAAGGTTGATAGATAAGGGATTTGATAGAGGCAAGGGCACGTCGCTTTGCGTCTCCTTCAAGAACCACTCTCAACACTTTCGCTGCCTCTCTCCTTGCGAAGTACGCTGATCTCTCAGCTCCCCTCAACCTTCCTCGCTTATCTTCATTTCCCTTGCGACTGCCATCGCCGCCGCCGACGCCGCCCTTCTTCTTCATTCGCAGGATTTAGGCGTTTGAGGGGGTTTGATTACGCTCAAAACGATATGTTTGTTTAGTTGTTTTGTGTCCTCCTCTTTCATCATACGACAACTTTCGTTACCGTCGTTTTTTTCTGTACACTTTTCATTACATTAGGACCCAAGCCCAAGCAAATAAGCCTGGCCCGTAATTTTGGATTACTAGTTTTGGGTTTGGGTTCCGATAAAAAATAGCATTCTAATAGGGTCTCAAAAACTCTAACTTATTACTAAAAAAAGTTCATTTATTTTTTCCCGCGTCAATCCCAATTCATGTCATGTCCAAGGTTGTCAAAAACGAGTTTTTACCTAGAAATGGAAAGCGAATATAAAATTGTAAAACATAAAATCGTAATACAAAACATAGATTTTATCTATATTATAAAATTAAATTATATATAAATATATATATATATAAATATAATTAAGAAAAATAGGTCATCTGCCACCATATATATACATTTCTAAGTCTACATAATTAAGAAAAATAGGTTACCTCTTACACAAAATTTTATTCGGTGGGTAAGTCCACATAGTAACCAAATCAAACAATATAAGATAACATATACTCACCAAAATAAGAAATGAGTCGCTAGTTACTAGACCCAGTTGGTCTGCGTCTGCCGCACGAGCCCACTGTCCACGACTTCAAAGTTCGGATGGAGATTAGAGACAAAAGAGAAAGAAAGGAATAAAAGAAATCTAGGGATTTTTTATTTGGGGCTTTTTGGTTTCAGAAATTAAAATCGCGTGTTTACGTTTTCACATTTAATCGCGACGTTTTTAACGATTTCACCAGTAAAACGTTTTTTCCCCAAAACAAAAACGCTTTGCCCCCAAAAAACATAAAAGCGGTGTTTTTACGCTTTAAAATGCGTTTTTAACAACCCTGGTCATGTCAATAGCGGTTCTAAACAAATCAGGGACCTTTCAGAGGCCTTTGACTCGGCTCATGAAAGCCTTTGACTCGGGTCAATCCTAATATTGGTTGTTGAAATCAGGCTTGAACTTGTATAAAAGCTCGTTTAATAAAAAGGTCTCGGGCTCCAATTCAAAAACTTGGCCTTAAAGCCTCTCAGGCTTGTCTAGTATATAATTTTTTATTTTATTTTTTATAGTACTTGTAATAGCCCTCTCTTTTTCCTCAATCCATTTCACCCCATTTTATTGGTTAAACATAATTTTTGAATGATTTTTTCCTATATTATATTGTTTAGGTATACATTGAATTTATGAATATTTATAGAATTATTAGTGTTGTTGATTGTATATTCTGTTTGGATAAATTTTTGTTGTTTTATATTTTTTAAACACGCTAAACCAAGCTTTTATTTTTTGTAAATAAGCCAGGCCACAGGTCGATAATTATAATTGTAACAAATAACAGGCTTGGTCAGGCTGACACATTTAAACACAGGCTTGGCTTTTTAAGACCAAAACTCGGCTCGGCCCGTTAACACCCCTACATGTCAATGATATAAGCAATCTACCTGGTAAAATAATTTGTTACGGATCTAAAAAATTTTATGGTCAAAAAATTATAATTATATATTATGAGGAGTATATAGTTATAATATTAAAATTATATTTTTTTTTCTCTTCATTCAGAAATTTAATTATCTATTGCAGGTAATACATGATTTTATTTTTTTCTTTCTCGTACATCACCTAACAACTGTTTGAAGTTATTAAGGACAGAGAAAAAATAGCTTTAATATTATAATTATATAATACCGTGGTAGATAGTTAAAATTCTGAAGAAAAAGAAAAAGAAAACATAACTTTAATATTGTAACTATGTACTACTATACCTAGACTACATAATTATAATTTTTTATCACATCAAACCTTAGATCTGGTCATTGTACATCTGCTAAACCACCACCCCCACACACACACATGTGTGTGTGTGTGTGGACATAATTATAATTTTTATGATTTAGTGACCGGAGATAAAATTATCTCAAGCTTTATATATATCATTTTCGACTGGCTTGATATGTACAAGAAAGTACAATTTTCTGGATCATCTGGCTTGATATGTTATGTTGTTTGAACCAAAGCTTGACATTATCTCGGCAAGCTCTAGAGGCATCAAATTCTGCCCACCACTTAACAAAAGCTTGTCGTTTAAGTATTGAGAGTTTGGTGTCAGATTTATCTCCATAATGATACTGCCATGAAAATATCCATGCCAGAGAAAATTTAGAGATTGCTTTATCCGGTATCAATCGCGAGCTACGAGCAAATAGAACACCCTTTAGTAGTATCAATACCGTCACATGAATTGTAAATGCATGAATATGATGGACCAAAAAATCCGCAGTTCCTAATGGAATAGGTAACAAAGCAACTTTGCCGCCTACTGCCACTAAATCACCACCCCCCCAAGTCAAACTGGTGCTTGTTGTTGCACCAGGGGCAGTTGTGCCTGGCGCTAAGGTGTGTGTATTTTGTATCCATTGAGCAAAGATAGGTTGTAATTGTATAGCGGTATCCGAAAACATAAACGGATCTGCTATTTTGTCAAATTTTTCTGAAAAGATTGTTAATCCTTCGAACACCATAGGTGGAAGGATATCCAGGATTGGTCCAAAATAATCCCACCATTTGATAAACCATTGAGGAAATTTATATTGCACGTTTTGTTTAAAATAAATTAAACAAGAGTGTTTATTTTCTTTATTTTGCATAAAGAATACATTGGTCCAGGCTACTTCATAATCCCAGTAGTTATAACCAACTGGATCATAAGGTTGGGAAAATTTGGTAATTTTGTTTGGGTTTCCATATTCTGATGGGGTAATTACTTCAGAATCTGGATGGTTGAGTGAGTTATAAACTCAGGGTCTTTTGGATTTCTGTAATGTTTGATTGAAATAGAGTTTGAATCAAGTAGAATAAACTCATAGAAATTTTGGGATTTATTTGAAGAAAGGGGTTTAAAATGGAATTGATTGCCTTTGAAGTCTTTAGGAAAAATCTTCGCAAGTACTTTGGTTGGCTTATTATCCCAATAGGCTGGTTCCATTTGAATAACTTCTAGAAACTTGGTTTTTGGAATATATGGTGTTTGGGCTTTTGATTTTTGGGTAAAGACTGGTTTGGGTTGAATTTCTAGGGCCTTATTTGGAAGGTTAGAAATCTGTTTAATTTTAAGTTATCAATCCAAACATAAAGACGTTCTTCTTGTTCATCTTTTGAGGCTATTTCAGCCCATGATTTTTTGGGTAGATGTGTCAAGCCTATATCTTGGAGGGTCTGTAGGGTTTGGATTGGCATAACATAATCTGCTTTAGTTTGTTTAGAAGAAGAAGTATCCTCAACTCTTTGGGTGGATGACCCAATTCGGGGTTAGGTTGATGACCCAGATTGTTCCTGGGCTGGAGACCCAGACTTTTCTGATTTTTTAGCTAACCCAGCAATGATTAGATTTCCTTTCCTCTCTTTAGAAGAGGTTGATTTTACCGATTTCGGCATTTCAGGACACTGTTTATCTTCCCTGCAGAAATTCACGAGTGAGATAATCAGGGAGAGAGTTTGAGGTGCCTTTGAGATATTCAATTTCAAAATAAAAAACACTTAAGATTGCTTGCCATCTAGCAAAAATGTGTTTAGATGCTAAATTCTTTACATCTTTTTGTAAAATGTCTTTTGCAGATTTGCAATCAACACGGATTAAAAACTTTTGATTTAATAAACCAGATTGAAATTTTGAAATGCATAAAACAATTGCTAAAACTTCTTTTTTGACAGTGGAATACTTTTGTTGTGCTGAATTCCAATGTTTTGAAGTGTATGCAATGATATGCTCTTTGTCAGAGACTTTCTGTTTGAGAATGCCACCATAACCTATGTCTGAGGCATCAGTTTCAACAATTTTGAAAGCTTGAGGATTAGAAAGATAAAGACAAGGAAGTTCCTTTACTTTAGCTTTGACCTGTTTGACTACGTCAGTATGAACATCAGTCCAGGGAGGAGGGTCTTTCATAAGACGATTATGTAGAGGTTTAATTAGATTATTAAGCTGAGGAAAGAAGTCAGCTACAAAATTTAAACAACCCAGAAATCTTTGTAATTGAGTTTTATCAATAATTTGATTGGAAAATTTGTCAGCAAATTCAATAGCTTTACAAATTGAAGTAATAGTCCCTTGATAAATAGTATGACCGAGGAATCTGATTTTTGTTTAAAAAAGATTAATTTTTGATTTAGAAAGAGCTAAACCATTTTTCTTAATTACATCTACAAAAATATGAAGATGTTTGAAATGTTGATCAATAGATTGAGAAAAGACAAGAACATCATCAATGTAGACGATGGCGAAAGTTGAGTATGGATTGAAGATATCATTCATGATTCTCTGAAATTTAAAGGGAGCATTTTTCAGTCCAAAAGGCATTACCTTCCATTCGTATTGGCCAAACGGGACAGTAAAAGCTGTCTTGTAACATTCATTGTCATTGAGCTGGATTTGCCAAAACCCAGATTTCATGTCAAATTTAGAAAAAAAATTTGCTGAATACAAACGATTGAGAAGATCTTTCTTATTTGGAATCGGATATCGAATCCATTGAAGTGCTTGATTGAGAGGTTTGTAATTGGTAACTAACCGTGAAGTTCCACGCTCAATTTCAGATTGCTTGTTGACATAGAAGGGAAAACAAGACCAAGGACTTTTGCTCTTCCTGATGAGACCCTTAGCAAGGAGATCAACAATTTCCTTTTGACAAAAGGCAAGAAGTTCACCACTCATTTGGATTGGACGAGCTTTGGTTGGGATTTGCCTTTCATTAAAATCCTTTTCATGGGGAAGATCTACGATATTTTTTTTCCTTTGCCAAAAAGCATTCGGAAGATCAGAACAGATTGTATTCTGGATTTGTTCAAGCAAGACTTTGATTTTTTGTTGAACTTCAGGCTGCTTTAATTGATTTTCAATATTCTTAAAAGAAATTTCTTCTTTAAGGAAATTGATTTCCTTTTGTTTGTAA